CAAGAACAAGAACAATATATAACCTCACCTTACCTCGCAGTACCTCGCTCCCCATCCCCCCCAAAAAGCCGACAATTTAGTGTAATTTTAGACATGCAGACTAGAACTGTGAGCACTGAGCAGTGGCTGTGGATGGGTTTTTTAGCAGGAGAAACCTAAAGGGGGAAAGAAACTGTCTCGACTCGTCAGAGACTTTCGCTAGGCTTTTTAGCAAGACAGCAGACAGAGGAGCAAAGGGCGGCACACATGGTTCTGCCCCTTCCACTATCTATCTATTTTTTCTTGGTTTATCTATATGGTAAATAGGTATTTTATTTTCTACATGCCATAAAGCAGTTTAATGCAGTCAGGTCATGAGACCTCACATGGGGTTAGTATATGCTCCTTGGCTGGGGATTAATCAGTGTCATTCAGCTGACAATTAGTTGGCCATTCTGTGTAGAGTATAACCGCAAGTTTTGGCAACATTTTATTTGGCCTGATTCGTGGCCACAATGATTGTTGCCTGACTGCGGCTTGCCGTTTGGTTCAGAGCCAAGAAATTAACTCTAGCGTTGTCAGAGAGTCATGCATTGCAATCTGAATGGATTGATAGCCTCCTTGGGTTGCCTCCCTCATCTTCACACAGTTCAAACATTGTAAGCTTTGATGTCTTCACTGGTGACTGCGACTGCGACGACCTCCAAAAATCGCAATTCGCAATAGTTCAAAGTCATCAAAGTTCAATTCAATCAATTTCCAATTTCCAATATGGGACAGGTCCTTGGAAAAAGGGGCATTTTTCACCCCTTTATTTCAGCATTGACATTGATAATGAAATTTCCAGGACATCAATGGATGTTGTCGTCGTATCAATAACTTAGGTCGTGTGTCACATGTCTTAGGGGCTGAAGCTCTGTAGCTGGGGGGGTAACATGCATAAATTATCGTCTAGAGGAACCAATCTGTCATGTTGTCTGTGTGGCCTATCCCCTTACCCTGCTGTTACGAGCTTCGATTTATGGCTTGCCACAACCTTCCACACAACTTGATAAACGGAAGTACTGCTGCCACAGGAACACAGATATCCAGCACGTGGGTTTTTATTGCAACTTCCGCGTAACCTTACGCCAATGCAACTCCCATGACATTAGCACTGCTCAGCGGCGCATCCGTTGCCCTGTCACCAATGCTCTCTCTCGCACACAGGTGGGCCATGATTTATGGCCCTCTGATTCGCCTGCTGCAACTCCGCCTCCGTTTCTATGATTATTACACCATTTGCGGGGGACTTCGCTCGCGAGTGCAATGCGTGGGGGGTTGCGGTGCGGTTCAGTGAATGGGTTAACAACCAATACGCATTTGCTGCATAGCCATTTTTGTGGCCATATTCCGCTTAATGATACATACAGGTAAACCATAAAAAAATATGGGATTTATGCATTGGTTACACCGTGCTGCAGCTGCAGGCACTTTGGAATTTGGCTGGGTATTATTTATTTCCATGGTAAATCTTACGCGCTTTATGTATAATTTTTTTTACTGTTTATTGGCTTGTTTTCGCTGTATATATGTTATATGCTGTACATAAAAAGTGCTATAGCAGCAGGGGACGCTTGGCTATATCCCAAACGAAAAGGGTTCGGTAAAGTTGAAGGGTACCCCAGGTGAATACACTCCTTACAAGAGTATAATTAATGTCCAGATACAACTGTCTGGATACACATTTGGCTAAAATATTTCTTCGTTTTTTCCTACTCAATGTTTTCTTCTGTTTTATCTATCATATTTGGTTACTTTTTCTATTATATATTATAGTATTTCTGTGCTGATTTTTATAGACAAACATTTGGTCTTTGCTTCTGTTCAATTATCGGGTTTAAAGTGTTTTCTTTAACTTCATTTTGTCAGGGAACTTCTGCAGTACCCAAATAATTATTATTTATTATTACTATTTTTTTTTAAACTTCTTTTATTCAAGAATATCTTTTCGCGCTCTTTTCTGATAATTCTGTAGACTTTGGTATTTTTTTACATTTTTCGTTTACCAATTGTACATCTAGTGACAGCTCCGATTCTGATATTTCTAAGGGGACCTCTTTTTTAGGATTGCTTCAAAATTCTGTGGTATTTACTTTTAAATAGTACTTTTAAATGGATATACTCCCATCTCATATACCTCTTAAAGAACTTGGCTGATATTAAACCCATTTCGATACGTCTAGCTATCTGAGACTTCCTGGCAATGTGTCAAAAGAGCAGTGGCTGGTCTCCTGTCTCCTGTCTCATTGATGACATTTATGACCTAATTAGCGCCTCTTCTTTGGCCTTTTGTGTGGAAAATGGAACCATATTAGTTTACAGCCTGGCCCCGTCGTCCTCGTTGTCATTGGCTAATTGAAAGGGAACTATAAAACTGAATCCCTACTTCCTTTTCCTTACTTCCTGTGCAAGGATGCCCTGCAAGTATCTGTGTGCTATGTGCAACGCTAATTAATGCCTGGGACGTGCATAAATTTGCCGAAGAGCCTGACATTTATGTCTTTTGCCTTTTGCCAGTCGCCATTTTGCCATTAAAATTGATAATTGCAACACGTAGTGGGGCGACAATAAATATCCCTAGGATGCTGAGTGCCTTAGCTGCGCAGTGGAATAATGAAATGTGATTCTGTTTGCGGGTTATCCATTACCTCGGCTCCGGCTCCAGATTGCACTGCACAAAGTCAATGAGAAAATCCTCCTCCATCTCCATCATGTTTGACAGTTTTCGTATACGTTTCTTTTTCGATTTTTTGGCCATCACAGGGAGCACAGCTCTGGGAGCACATTAGTGCATCATTTTTGATGGCACGGGTGTTGGCACGACTGGCTGATGCGGGAGGAACTTGGCGGAACTTTCACTCAACAAGGGCGACCGGCGAATGGGGCGACCTTTGACTGGGATTCCTGGTTTTGGCTGGTGCTGGCTGCCACACATGTGTGTGGCGTCGAGTGGCAGCCGCCAGCGCTCCCACTATGCTTTCACTTTTACTTTCACTGTCGCTGTAGCTGTCGCTGTAGCCGTTTCGCCCTCTCATAGTTTCGCGTTTCGATTCCTGTGCTGGCATTGCCTTTCCAGCTCTGGCATTGTCCTGGCAGGTGGAAGGAAACGCGTCCTCGTCGTCGTCTGCCCTCCCCCATCGCATGTTGTGTTGTTCGGGAACGCAGCGTAAAGCGTTTTAATGTTAGGCGTAATGACATGACACCAATGTCAATATTATGACAAACTATACGACGCGGTGTGTCAACAAGTTTGCCCCCATTGTGCGACGACTACACTGGCCAAAGATTTGTGGACTCTAAAGGCAGTGTATAAACGTTAAAGGATTGCTGCAGCTGTCAGCTATTAAAAGAGAGGGTTTTCGCTTTACTGGGAGTCTGGGGGGTTAGCCAGGCAGTGCGGTGATAATTTAAGACAGGAAACTTTAAGGCAAAAATGCCTTGATGAATGCTCGATGCATCGATGCTCGATGGATACTGAATAAAATAGATTTTTCGATGATCTCAGAGCACGAAGATTGTGTCTGGGAGTATCTGTCGCTGGATTTCAAATGGAAGAGGATTTAAAAATGTTTCTGCCTTTCAAATCTTTAAAATCCCTAAGAAGTTTTTTGGAATTCATTCCAAATTTTTCGGGACGTTTGTTTATCGTTGTAATTCAATAAAAAATAAGAAAAATGCCATACCCGTCTCATAATTAGAATCAGGTGCACAATTTTCGGAAGACTACGGCTGCAGGAGGATCTTATTTGCATTTACTCTCTCTTTTTTTACCTCTCTTTTATCCAGCTCTCCCCTTACAGGCTCTGCCTCGCCCCCATGGAGGAGGGCAGCTGATCGGGGCTGGTGTTAGTATAAGAACAGAGAAAGAGAGACAGATGTTGCTGAAAAAACGGCGGTATTGAAACTGATAAAATATATTCGAAAATTCTCACCAAATAGCTAATTTCTCTCAGTGCAGTAAAATCGCCCAAAACTTTTGAAAGGTTTTCCTGCGTGTAGGTGACAACTCTATTTCGATTTGTATGCCGCGGCACTGGAAATCAGCTCCTCGTGCTAACCTCTTTCCTTTACTCCCTTTTGGCTTTGGCTTTGGTTTATGGCCAGCAACTGTCGGTGTTTATTTCACCGTTAGATCTCGTTTTTCCTTGCCACAGTATTTGTCTGGTTTTTCCCTAGCACAGTGTCTGTGTGTGTCTGGTCTAAGTCTAAGCACGGAATCGGTGACTGAAAGTTTTTGCCGCAAAAGAATGGCAAACTATTCTACAAAGGTAGCAAAAATCCCACGAAGCATGGTGGCTCGTGGCAAAGGGCCTGGGACTTGGCAGGGAGTCTCACATTACCGGTGAAACCAGATAACAATTTCGCTTTATGGCCGTCTTTCATGCCAACAAGACATACAATAATTTCCTCTAATCGACTCGCAGCGCGGAAATTGAGCAAACACTTTCTGTATCGAGGCCTGAGGATTGCCGGGGCTTGGGCGCTTTTAGGGGGAGTTCCCTAGCTGACACTGACATTTCAACGTGCAACAACGTTGGGCTGTGCCGGGTGGGAGGCAGTCACTTTCCCAAAAGTCTTCCGGTGCATTCTTACTTCCGGTCCATGCCACTGTGCCAATTTGGCCCCAAAAACTTTAATTGCAACGTCTTCCGGCATCGCGAAATGTGTCCGCTGACATTTCAACAAATAACTTTGACGGTTCCTTTTCGTTTTGGCTTCGTTTTAGTCCGCTTTCAGTTTTTACTCTTCGTTTTGAGTGCTTTGTGGCTTCAGAGGATACTCCATTGTCAGCTCCACTTTATGTCTGGTGTGTGGGTCTCCTGGGGCGTCTGCTTTTCTCTCTAAAACTCCCACTGTTTTTTCTGTGCCACCCACTTTCCATTTGGGTGTTAAATACCATTTTTGGTGGCAGTTTTTGATGGAAATCGCATTATAGATTTCTTAAATGTTTTTTTTTTGTATTATTTTTCGTTTTTGTAGCATAGCTAGCCCACTTCGGGGTCCTCGCAACCAACAGGTGTGTGTTTGAATGTTGTTATTTATAAAAAATTTGATGCATAGTTCAACAGATATCAACCACCTGCCTTCCACGTCGGCGGCCGCCGCAGCGGCGACATATTCTTTCGCGGGACAAGCGTCCTCAACAACAGCGGCAGAAGATCCCGAAGATGTGGACAACATTGTTAACCCCGTTATAACTGATCATATGCTATATATTTTTGCAACGTTTGATAACAAAATAGACGTGGGAAGGTAGAAAAGAAACATAAAATTTTTGGAGCGCCCGGCACATTTGGATGAGATGAAGAATGGAAAGATAAACTTACTATCCTCGTTAACTGTGTTTGTTAATCATCCCTTCGTTATCCATTTTGACGAATACCATCTAAAGCATATGGTAAGTGTTTATTTAACTAAGGTAAAGAATACACACTAATAATTTTTAAATATTTTCAGCCCTACCTTAGGACACCCAGCGATGAAGGAGACGTTAAAATGAGGGCACTGGCATTTTCTGCGTCTAACATTGACGGCAGTAATTTCAGATTTGTTTATATCCGTGTGGAAAGTAACAATTTTATTCAGTAAATGTTAATGTATCAAATTTTTAAAATAATCAATTCATTTTCTATGCAACAGGTCCCAATTTATATTGACAGAATTAGAAAAAGACAATCAAAGCTTGGAAGCGAGAAAATTAAAACGGCCCTTGATATGGTTTTAAAAACAATCGTCGATTGGGGCTTATCCGACAATTTGATGGCAATTGTGTCGGATCACAACAAATCAAATTTTGACGCCCTACACGTTGCTACATCAAAGCAATTCCCTGTAATATGGGATATCTTCCATCAGCGGAATATTCCTTCATTCGTACTCAAGATGGATGTCACAGTTCAGAAGTTGTACGAGCTGAATTTTACAGCAGACAATTGGTCAGCTATATTTAAAGGAAAGCCGACAAACCCAAGCAATAAAACGGAGGTGGATGGCATACAGAAAATGATACAAAAATACTTCGCGACTGCCGGCAGACCACCATTACAAATAAACCGTATTGACCCAAGCAAGTTCGAAATGCTGGGCCGATTGCTAGCGACTCATATGGCCAATATAATGATGTATGCTACATCACTGCCATTTCAAATGACGGAATTAAAAAAAAACCAATTATATTACGTTACCCGTATTTTTGCCCTTATTTTGTTAATAAACACTCCAAAATTCTCAGCAATTACTCGCTAAAGCAAATATTTATGATGAAAACAAATTTAAAATTTTATGCGACAATTTTTAAAGAAATATTTTATTTATGTACAATATTGACGAGGAAGTGTGTGTGCGGGTCCCTCGGTTCAAACGCTGGGCTGGATTACCTTTTTTTTCTAAAGAAATTCTTTTTATTTGCGCCATTTTTGAATAAATGCTGCATTATGCACAGCAAAATCAAGGAAAGCGTGGTTCGAAGCGTGCACGGACTTTCCTTTTTTTTTTCTTAAACAAATCGTTTTTTCCACGGTTTTACAGTAAAAATTACATTTTAAAATTGTTTTGATTTTTTTTTAAATTTAGCTGGCATTAATTAAATATTTAACTGGTAAAAATTTAAAAAGAGCTTTTAATTTTTGTTGTTTTTTTCCCTATTAAATGTTGAAAAAATACCATATGAAAATTACAAAAATTTTACTTGAAAAACAGGAAAAAAATACTTGGCTAATATTGTACGAGTGAGTTTGTGTCTTTGCTAAGCACGGAAAGGAACGCGCGCTGGTTTTTGTATTCGCTAAGCTTTTGATAAAACTTTTTCTGCCTTTGATACACTGAACAAAATGATTGACTTTTGCTTTACAATGCTTTACTTTTCGTGCTCTAGAAAGTAAATGCTGGTTTTGAGAATGGTTTTCAAATGTATATTCGGATATTTTACTGGTGTAAAACTCAGGCCAATAGCTATTTAAATACCCATCAAAATTATATAACTTAAAGAATTTAAGCGCCGAACTGGTGATAGATATTGCAATAATTTCTGCTTGTTATGTGAAGAGGAAAGAAGAATCTGCACGAAGATTAAACTTAGACGTCATATTTGAATACTTAACTCTGGATATTTTTCTTAGATATAAAGAAGGTGTTAAAACTTCTATATTTTTCTTCATACATTTTACTTTCTTTTTATTTTCTTTTAGGAAAGACGAGAAACACATTGATGCAGAATTCAGCTGCACTTCAATCTAGGCTTTGCCTTCATAAACGCGTTCTAAACTCCGATAAAAATATATCCCATTACTCATATAATGTTTGCTACCACAAACAAATCCTTAACCCAGTCGGTAGGTTTTCTGCACTCCCCTAAATAAATCCCCAGCTTAGTCCCAAAATTTATATCGTTCAACTATTGAAAATTCTTCCCATAATATATACCCCAACTGTCTCTAGCGTATAATTCTTACGTGCACTTGACCAGATCCTGCAGGTCCTCCGCTGACAACGCATACTCCGGATCCAAGCTGGTTCCATGTCGTTTTTTGCTTCTACTCCGAGGCTTGCGACGCAGCCCACTCGCAGGTTTCGAGCCCGATCGCAGCGGCAGGTTATCACTCGACTGGACACTGGTTCTGGGCGGCGGGGTATCCGAAATGATGGCCATGCCAGCGGTGGAGCGATCGTCCGGATACTTGGCCGCATTTGCAGAGGCACTGGCCGCTGCCGCTTCCTCGGCCTTGGCCTTCTCCGCAAAGCTGTCGCGTCGCCAGGAGGGCGTGAGGGTGCGCAGCACATTCTGGGTGTCCGCATAGCCCTCGTAGTTGTAGCGTTTCCGCAGGCTCAGCCCGGACAGATACTCGAGCGTCTGCCACACGTTCATCTTGTTCGCACTGTAGCAGGGCTCATCGCCGACTGACCAGCAAGCGTTGCGTGCTATGCGCTGGGCCAGGAGCATCGTCACGGTGGCACAGCGCTTGCCTGGCGGCGGCGGTGGTGCCCATTCCCGCGACTCGGAACGCGCAACAGTCGCCACTGCTCCGCCCTGGGCCCGAGCACCTGTGAGTGACATATGCGGAGCGGAACAGTTTGTTTAGCAACGTCCCTCGGCCAGGTGTACGGTTTGCACGTCAGTTGTTTTGGATAGCACAAATTGAAATGTAATTAAGTTTCCTTTCGCTGTTGTGCATTTAAAAAAGTTCGTCCTCAGTGTGGGGACTCATGGATGGCACTATGTGAGCTATAGTCTAGTGGCGTGCGAAGCCTCCGACGACCGAACTTTATGTGAGAGACGCGGACGCGGACCCCTGCCGATCCGTGCCCGTGTCCGTTGCGTGGCAGCCACGCGTTCGTACTCCGGGTGTTTATTGTATCCATTTTGCGCCATTAAAAATAATATCATTCTGATTGAGTGACGCGCCGCTTAAGTACTTTCTTCTTCTTGTTCTTCTTCGCTGTCCTCGTACTGACACCATTTTCCGCTTCATTCGCTTCATTTTGATTTCCCTTCTTTTTTTTCTTTTCTTTTCTATTTTTTTTTATTGAACACGCAAAGTGTCGGGGGGTCGGGGCATCGCCAGAGTGAATAGAGCAGCACATTACCCCGTTCTGTCCTGTGCCCATTATATTCGGTTGCATTGTGGATACGCAGCTTAGACGAAACTTTGAGTTATGACCCTGCCGATGAACACCCTTCCCTCTGCTTGGGGCATAAACTTTAGATTGATGGGCGTGTTTTATGGCTAAGCAAGGGATACTTTAACTATTGATATGCCAAAGAGTTGGGGCTACGAAATGGTGGCAAGTGGAGAGCTAAGTAGTGTCAATACTGAAGGACAAAAGGTTGACTGATCGATTATACATTCTGCAATTGGAGTGTGGCTTTGAACTGATCAACTTTCTTTGGCATTTCTTTTTAGTCTTTGGAGTAATAAATCATAATCATTTATGGGTGTGCCTGGCAAGTACTTTATCTATGGGTTTTCTTAGGGGTTAAATTGGGGTGACTTCAGGGAATTTATTAGCAGATGAAACTGATCAACTTTCTTTTCCAGTTCTTTATTCTTTGGAGTAATAAATCATAATCCTTTATGAATGTACTTAGCGGGTGCTTTATCTATAGATTTTCTAAGTTAACTTGGGGTGACTTCAGGGAATTTATTAGCAGAAGAAACTAAGAGTAGTATATGGTAGATTTAAAAAATTTTAAGGGAGTGAAGAGACAAAATTAAGTGAAAAATTAAAGATTTATTTTTGAAGAGTAAAAGAAGAATATAAAGTAGCTCTCTTTTAAATGCATTTTCCCTGCCAAGTCGAGTGATTCTACATATCAGATTCGCAGAGTACTTATTTTATACATAATGTGTTTCAGTTTCAAGTTTAGAGATAGTTTTAGCAGATAACCAAAACGAAAGACCATTGAAAGTTTATGCCGTTAACAAAGGGAAAAGTTCCAAAGAATATTCGGAATTCCATTACCCACCGTAAGTAATAGTTTCTTATTTCATTGACACCTGCCTTAACCTTGAGGCAGGAACCTTCCATGGACAGTGACACCACAGAGAGAACTCGTAGGACAAGCCGCGAAAGCCGAGCCTGCACTGGGTCGTCAGCCAGTGAGTTAAAACCAAAACCAATTTCCCTTTTCCATCACTTGTTCGCCCAATTACTTGGCAAAGTTTTGCCCATCGGCTGCACTTGCTCCAGGCCCCCACCTGACCCCCCATCGTGCAGCCTGGTTGGTGTTCATTTGCACTGAAGGAGGAGCTGAGGCATCTATCAAATGCTTCGTTAGCATCGCGTGACTAAACTTCGTACGGAAATTAGTGCCCTCCACTCAAGGGAGCTTGGGGGCTGCCAGAGGAAAGGAGTTACAAGAGGAAAGGAGCAGCCAGGAGCTGCCAGAGGAAAGCAGCTGCCAGAGGCACAAATTTAGGAAAGTTTTAAGTTTTAGGCAGCGAAATGAGGCAGCAACGAGTGGCCTAGAGACAGAGATAATCTTATCAGACGGCGATGTGATGCAATCGAGTGTAAGTATTTCCCCACGAGAGTGTTGTGTTGTGTGTGTGGGATTGCCATGGAAATATGTATTTGTGGGTGTGGTTCCACGGGTGGCATTACTTTACCCTACGCCTGACAATTTGATGGATGCAATAAAATATTATGAGCATGGAGCGCTACGGCAAAGAATCTTAATTGAATGGCAGCCAGCGCAGTGGTGGCGCCAATCGCTGTCAGAACGAAACGACCAACCAATCGACCAATAAACCAACAACACTCGATGGCAATCAGTGCTGGGTGCACACACACACACACGTGTCGTGTCGTGTCGTGTCGTGGCTGAGAGGGAACGGGCATTAAATGGCTTGTACTCACGCAACAATGACATCGGGATCCTCCCACCATTTCTTGTGTGAGGGCTGCAGCAGCAGACTAACCTGTCGCCAGTGGTTCTTGTGCACAACCTAAGCGGAGTCTCATTTGAATAATTGCACCTCTAATTTCGGCTTGCAGCTGCTCACCTTATACTTCTTGGGATCGTAGGCACTGTGATCTTTGTCGGAGAACACCAGACGTGCCATTTCGCTGCGCGTATTCCCTTTACCTTTCTTGTGTTGCTTGTTACTTATATTTTCGGTTGAAATATATATTGGGTCTGTTGTGTTTTGCAGGACTGATGATTTTGTTTTGCCAACTTCTCAGTTTGACAGTTGACTGAAAGGTGATTAATGTAAAACAATTATTTTGGAATTATTATGATACTTATATTTATGTTTGGCAGAGTAGCTGTAGGCTACATTTAAAGTTCGAATTAATGGAATTTTATACCAGCCGAAAGAGAGTTTATTTATGGCCTATTTATATATAGCCTATATATTATATACATATATATTTTGTATGTATATATATTTTTATTTATTTTTGATATTTATATTTATTTTTCCAACATATTAATGTTGGACTTTTTTAGTCAGTTTAGTTCAGATAAATTCTGTATCGAAAAATTAAATAAATAAATAAATGAGTGAAAGCCTTGCCCTCTAAATATTCTTTCTAAAAAGTTGCAATAATTTCTAGCCAGATCTTTTCTGTGAAAGGCAATGACTGACTTAAAAATAGTATAGCAAGCGATATCTTCTGATTCTCCATGGAGTTTTGAAAGATTTTCGTCAGCTTTAATTAAAATACATTTAAATAATAAGAAAAAAAAACACCAAAAGTTGTAAATAAAACACTTATTTCAGATATATTATGCAGAGCGTCTGTCAGCACACCCATCGTGCAGGGGAGCATTTTTCGTGTCAGTTTTCACATCTTTCTTGTGCCAAAATCTTAGAGAATGCTAGGAAGAATTTTCCAGGCCAATCAAAAAATTATTTCTTGGGCTTCTAAGCATCAAATTCTAGGAGTAAATTTGTTAGAGAACTTTTGTTGCATCGAAATCGAAACCAGTCAAGGGTTTTTTTTTTGTATTCCTGTTCTATAAGTCAATGGTTTTTTTTATCCTAATTCTTCTCGTTTTAAGCACCACCCTAGACAACAGCATCGAGCCACAGCATAGCCCCCGCATTAGCTGCATTAGCGATATGCAAATCCACACATCTACACAGCTATATAGAGTACATAAATGTACATATATGTATATCAGCAACGCTGGAGACCAAAATGGTGCGGTCCAACGCCTGGCAGCAGCAGCTGTTGGCGGCTGGGGGCTGGCGGCTGGCGGCTAACACATTAATTTCAGGGCAGACTTATTGAACTGAATATAATTATATTCAGCTGATGAAATTTTAATGGACAGCCAGTGTACTGTGTGTGTTTGTGTGGTACTGGGTGCCTGTAATTCGCCCATCCATTGTTCGATATTCATAGCCATGGACATGTGTGTGTGTCTGGTGGGGGGTTGCCCCCTGCCATGTGACGGTTTCAATTGATTGGACCAAATCAAATGTGTCTTGTCTGATAGCTTGTCAACTGCGGCCGTGGCTAATTGTCGCCGTACTTGAATTGTCAATGGCCCATTGGGCTCAAAGATCTCTTTTGCCCCGGCCATGAGTGGTGGGGTAGAATCGAGTTTGTTGTTTCTTGTGGTGGCGCCGCAGTTTCCGCATTTAATCGAGCAAACATAGCGAGAACAGCGAGAACTGGCCTGGCCTGGCCTGGCCTGGACTGGCCGGGCCGTATATGCTAAATGTGCTTGGCCGGCTCCATTATGAATCTCGATGGCCATGCGAACTCGCTGGATCTGGGGTTAGAGCTATAAAAACGCTGCGACCACCGGCAGATGTCAGTTAGTTACGTTTCAATCGTCGCTTAGATATCACCAGAAGCCAACATGAAGGTAAGGATATACCTTCGCCTTTTGCCATCGATTCAGTCGGGTATTAACTCTCTCTTTCCCTCTCCTTCCCGCTCTTTTTGCAGTTCGCTATTGCCGTAGTCTTGTTCGCTTTGGCCTATGGAGTCAACAGCTCTGTGGTGCCGCTGCTGACCACCATCCATGGTGGCCAAGTGATTGTGGGTGCTCCCGCCATTGCCGGTTCGGTGGCCGTTCATGCCTCTGCCGTGCCCGCTGGCGTGCCCGTGGCCCTTGCCCCTGCCGGACCCTTGCTCATCCAGTCGGCGCCTCTTCAAGCCACCGTTGTGGCTGCCCATGCGCCCGCTGTCGTTGCAGTGGCTGCACCCGAGGCCAGCTATGTGGCCAAGACACGTGGCGCCGTGCATGTGGCACCGCTGCCCGGACACTCGCAGTCGGCTGCCTCCGTGAACCTGGAGCCCGCACCAGGCACCTGGTAATCCACCAGCAGCAGCAGCAGCAGCTATGGATAAACGACCACCTTCAGACCCTTGCCCAGCCGCCCCACTCCAGTCATGTTTTGTTTTAGTGCCCGAAAGGTTCTTTTTCCCCACTTGCCAGCGTCGATCGTCGATCTTTGGATCCTCTTTGGCAGCTCACCAGCTCCACTTTCTTCAAGCAAATCTAAGTCAGCAAATCTCCGAGTACTTTCCTATCGTTTTCTCTGCTTTTTTTCTCTTGTGTTATCATCTGGAAAATTATTATTTCTTTGAATAAACAACAACAAAAAATATGTTATCAAAACAAAATGAGGGAAAGAATTAATTTAGAGGATTTCTAAGGCTCATTTTTTGACTCCACTCCCCAGCTCCCACGCCCTCAAAGTCTTTTGTTGTTGTTCTTTTTGCAAATATTAGACAGCTATTTAGCTGGCAAAAAAATCAAATCAAATCGAATCGATCGATTAACGATTAACCGATGCCAGCAATTAATCAATACCGGGCCCGGCCGCGTTCCAGCAGCGATCAGCAAGCTACTTTGAACCAGACCCAAAGCAGGGGCGTTGACGCAAAAAACCTCTCTGGAAAAGACAGCAGCAAACCAAAAGCAGGCAGGCAGGCAGGCAGGCAGCTGAACCACTTTGTTGCCAACTGGTTGGGGAGACAACAGACAACAGAGCCCAGACCAGACTCCAACTGAAATCGAGAGTACGAGAGTACGTACAGCCGATAAACTGGAGCAGGGGGCGGTTTGCCTTGATCGCCGCACACTCGCACTTGCAATTATTAATAGAAAATGTGGCATGGCGTGGCGGCGCGTAATACTCGTACATATAGTATAAAAAAAGCAAAAGCAAAGCAAAGCAAAAGCCAACACGGAGACAGACAGCACAGGCAGCACAGACCCCCCCGGTTAAGTAATGTGTCTATGCAAATTTGTTGTATTTGCAGTTCAGATCCGCCTTAACGCCCACACGGGGAGGGACACGTTTGGTAGTACTTTTTTGGTTCCCGTTTCCGTGGCCCATTCGAAATGGAATTGACCAAAATAATGATAAGCCAAAAAGTGCTTTGAGCTTTCAATAAAAGTGTCAATTGTCAAGCGATAAATTCCTGGCTTCTGGCTCTGGTGTAGCGAAGTTTTTGCTACCCAGGCAGAAATATTTGCACGTGAATATGTGTACTTTTGAGCCAGTATTCTCTGCCTTGCAAACATCTAATTATACACCTAATACACCCCACCCCCCTTGGCTGCTGTAGGGTACAACAACAAGCGGGCCAGCCAAAGCAAACAGCAGCATTTTTGCCGCCGCTGTTCGGTGTCGTGTCCGCAGCCAAGCCCCACAGCAATTGGCCATAAATCTGGCCATTCACTTTTTTTTTCTTTTTTTTCCTACTTGATACCCGGCACCGTGGCTAGCCCCACCCTGGCCTGCCCTGCTCTGTTTGCTGCGTGCGTGTAAATGCAAGACGCATGACGCAGCCACTGAATGCCACCGCACAGGCAGCAACTGCAACTGCCGCTGCCTCTGCCTCCCTCTGGTGGCAAGTTCAAGTTTACGCACTGCTCGCTGTCTGTGGTCTGCGGTGTGCGGTCTCTGTGTGTGCTTCCTGCTCAACAGGTTCAACGCACTTGAGGCAAAAAACGCATTCGCATTCGCATTTTTCTGCTGGTTTCTGGCACGCGACACGCACTAAACGAGTTCAAGTTTTTGGCCCACTAAAGTGCTGCAAAATGTACCCAGTTTTTTTGTGGGTATTAGCTCATGCCTCATGCTGCATGCTGCATGCGTGTGTGGGCGTTGATTCATTGCATTAGGGTCAGTGGACCAATAAAGGATTTAAACGTGGAGTGATTCATTCAGAGTAAGAACAGAAACCTTGAAGAACATATGGCTGGTAAGGCCTGCTGCAAGTGGGAGGCAGTTTGTTATCCATTTAAGCTGGAAAAAAACAAATAAAAAAAAAAAAAAAAAAAACATGACTGAATTATTTCGTAATATAACCAAAGTCTGGTTGGTATGTGCAGCTTTCTTATCCGCACCCACAACTGGTTGGGCTGTTGGTTGTTTGGTTGTTTGGTGGCCTAAATATAGTAACAACCTGTAACCAAATATACGCCAAGAGAAACAGAAAGATGGACAGACAGAGAGAGAGACAAGCACTCGTATCTCTGTGTTGCCTGAGACATTTCAAACTTGTTGCACTTAGCAGGGGCAGCGCACTGCAGCCACTTGCTAACGTCATAAACACACTACTAACCACCACCACCAAGTCCCATAGAACTTGTTCAATTGGCAATTATACTACGAGTAGAAGAACTCCTACTACTACTACTACTACCCCGTGTTGTGGCTCTCTCTCCCTCTCTACTTAGCTAGTTAGTTGTGACAGTTGTGACTACGATTTAGTGACAGCCGCGACCGCGTAAGTGCTTAATTATTGATTTCGCTTAATGACCATTAACCGATGGCTTTTGCATGCTAATTGTAACGGGATTAATTGCCCACAGATCTTGATCGTAAGCCAACGGTTTCAATCGATTACGTCTACGATTGGCAATTGCAACATCAGCATAAAGCACAGACCCAAAAAAAAAGGAAGGAAAATAGCAACAATTGCACTTCGGAGGCCACCACAGCGACCACTCGACCACTCGAAAATTCCTAAACTGAGTTCGAGTGTGATTGCCTCGGTGTAAGTTAATTAAATTAACTTAAATCGCCTAACAATTAAAACTAATATAAAATATTATGGCGAAATGGTCGACGGGGAATTGCTCTTAGCTGCAGGATAAAACGACTTTTCAACGCTTTAAGCGAGCAGTGTTGCAGGCAGTAGTGGGCGCAGTATCTTTCAGTGTTGTAAAGCATTGTAAGTTTAGCCTTTATGACTAATAGGAATATTAAGTTCACATTTTCATGCGCTAATATAGAACAACTTCAACTATTCAACAGTTTTAAAATATATTCACAGTTTGACAGAACCAGTGTTGTAAAACGTGCTACAGGAGTTCGTTTTCTTCTCTACTCAGACATTCAGTGTTGTCTTCAACCTTTCGTAGGCTTTGTTTCTCAGCTCTCACGCCCAGTGCTTCCCAGTATTTCTTGTTTATCGCTTGCAACTGCCAGTGCTGCACAACGAAGGGCTGCCCCGGTGCACTGTACCCTTCAGTCGCTGCACTCTCGCGTAGAGTATGAAAACCAAATTAAATAATGGGTAACACGCCAAAGGTGTTGGCGGAGTGGGTGGAAATGCTGCTGCCTGCTGGCTGCTGTTGGGTTGCTGCAACCAAATTCGCTCGACTGCCACCGTGTGGCATAGCGGCCCACTGTTGGTGGGTCTCCCGGTCAGCGCTTGTTTGCAGTTGTGGCAACAATTGGTAGGCAGGCAGGCAGTCAGCAGGCAGCAACCAAAGGCCTGCGGCCAAATTGAATTCAAGCGTGGCTAACATTGATTTGCCAGCCCCACCACCAACCATTCCACCATTCACCCATAATTAGTTTTATTCTGTTTATGCGATTTTAATATGGAATTCGCATTAATCTCGGCCGGAAAAGTGGGCGGCAACCGCCGCAGTGTGGCAGTGTGATAAGGACCTGGGCCTGTACCGACTGTGGCATGATGCAATCGAGCAGTGAGATTGCAACAAAAGGCTGGAGAACGCCGCAGCTTTTTGTTTGTTTGCTATTAAAATGCCATTAAAATTGGGCCAAAATATGCTTCGGTTTTTCGGGGCAGCAAACAAAACGTGTTGGCGGTGCGACATGTGCCTGGTGGCTGGTGGTGGCTGCCCGGTCCATTGTTTTGGGTTGTGCAACTGCAACTGTGTCAATCTGATTTATGCCACTTGACCGAACGAGTGTGCATGTCGCGTTGGTTTTAACGCTTTGCCGCTTGGACGCCTGCGCACGGGGCAAGATCAATGCCAGCCACAGTCTCAGCCTCAGCCTCAGCGGTGGATTTTTGCAATGCATTTCCATGTCGGGCCCATGCCCAATGGTTCTACGGAATTCGGGGAGGGGCTCGCTACAGCTTTTTATTCAATGCACCTGGACGCAAAATATACTCTCGTGTGTGTGTTTGTGTTTGTGTCTGTTTGTGTATTAAACAATTGAGGAAACATTTTGTTCAGACCTTGTAGCCCACAAAGTGGCGACGTCCAATCACCTCGCCCATGTAGAACCAGGAGATTACCTCAACGGTAACCAAAATATTCAGCCAGGCCTCGCGCACTGTGACCTGTCCCAGGCGACCGCCCAAGCCCTTGACATCCGTCTTGAGATTCTTTGTGCTCTTTTGCACCTTCTTGAAGTCGCCCGGCAGCGGCGGCGACAGCTCCACTTTGGCATATTTCCAGAATTCCTTCAGTTGCGGACGTGCCAGCGCAGCCACAGCTGGGAATATATTTATTATACCACAAGAAATATCGGAGTGTATTGAATGGCAAAACTTACTATTGGCCAGGGCAGTGGCTTTAGCTATATATTGACTCATCTTGGACCGAAGTTAAAGTAGCAAGAAATGGAAAATCGTTTTAGTTTTTGTGTTTAGCAGAGATGATTTGACACACTGGCGCTGCCAGACATTGACAGGCTGCTTTGATGTGCCAGTGTTGCCATACAGTGTTGCTAAACGATAGTTGGCTGCGCTGAAAGGCGCTTCACACCACACACGATTCTCTGGCATTCCCCGCCCCGACTTGCAAATGTGTTTGGCTACAAATTTGCATAATTGCCCAGTTGTCGAATACAATCTGCGGCCAATTATGCGATTTTGCGGGCGATAAACTGACCGATCATTACACAGCACACCGACAAGATAGTTATTAGTAGAGCGAGCGAGCGAGCGATCTACGCCCACTTTGGGCAGTGCAAGACAATGGACACAACAACAACAAAAAAAAGAAGGCAAAAAGCACGCCCTAACAAATTGGCTCAGACCATCGATGGCCCCTCCTGGCATTGTCTTCCCAGGCAAAAAATCAGCAAATGTAGCCCAGAGTCGGGCAGGTATTTCATCATCGGGCCTTTGGGTTGTGGTTCTCATAATGTTAATGGATCACAAATGGGAAAAACTAATGCAGTGAAGGGCTCCATTCTGCACAAATAAAATTGGTCTAGTGCTTGTATATATCGTATTACTAATTGAGAATGACATTCCAAACAGAGAGGGAGACCTGACCAGACCAGCGCCTTTGCGCTGTGCCATAATCATTAATAAGATGTGATTAATGCTTCATAAATTTTTTGTTTGCGCCTGTCATTTGTGCTGTGCAGCTGTCTTCTAAATGGTTCCACTTCCACTCTCACGCGAGTCGTCATACCCATGCATTCGGGGGGCCACTGCTGACACTTTGACCCTCGTCTGAAAAAAAAAACGTGGCCAAAAGTTGATTTGCATTCCTATGACAATTTCAAGTTGAGGCGCTGCCATTGCATTGCCATTGGGGAATTGGATTGGATTGGATTGGGCTAAGAGCCCCTCCAAACATGGAAATGTAGTCCAACAATTCGTTTTACTATTTTGCATTTTTATTGTTTGCCAATGCTGACAGCGTTTGATTATATTTATTCTTGGGCGTTGGCCCCCGCGCCACACAGCAATTGCAATAGCAAAGGCCTTCCTATGTATTGCTGCGGGGGGAGACGCCGCAGCAGCAGCGCAGGCAACAAAAGCACCGAAAAGCGCAGAAATCGGGCAGGGCAGGGCAGGCAAAGGCTAATTGTTTATTTAGAACACTGCGCCAAAATGCAATGGCTATTAGATCTCCTGATCTCCAGCGAGATTTAGATGCTGGCATTTCGAGGTATTTGCTTGGTTTTCCTGAAGGCGCTTTATATGCAAAGAAATTGATTGTTATGGGCTTTTATAACTCTGACTATATTTGATATTAAAGAATTTATTTTGATTTAATTAAGCCTTTGTAAAGGGTATTTATGCTATTGCTTTATGCGAGTCGGTCCATTTATTTAGTGTCCAAAAAGGTTCCTTGGTTGAGGCTGTTTAAATTCCGTTTCGGAGTAAACTAATAAATGATAATAAATAATTTTATTTATGTATTTTTTCTGTCCTTTGCATTGAGTGGGTCTTTGATTTATCGCTGGACTGCCAAGGATTATTGTAAGAAGTCATTCCACATTTCTGGGGATCTTTTTTAGCTGACTGATGTACAATTATGTTGTGACTAAATATTGTTTTAATTAAGTCCTTAAAAAGGTTTTGGGAATGGCAAAACCTAACTGAACAACCCAGATATGGAAGGGTGATGGTCTCCAGTATTAATCGGCTATAAGTTTATTTCTACATCAGGTGCTTTATGCAGAACTTTTGCTGGAGCTATCGATTATGTAGTTTATGTCACTGAAAATTTAGAAAAATTTATGTAATTTATTTGTAAAATATTTAATTATTATTTTAGAATTATTTCGCCTTTAAAAAGGTTAAGTTTAAATCGATTAGTCTGTGCCAGATATATTTCTATATCTGATGGCCTGTTTTCATATTGCAGAAGGCTTTGCTGTCATTTAAGACTTCCTCGTTTATGATTTATTTTCTACTGTAAATTGTTGTGTTAAATTGTTGTTGTTGTTGAAGCAATCCAAAGGAAAAGGAAGCCATCGCTGATGGTTGCCCTGCGCAATAAAAACGATTGCCCGTCGGTGAAGATATTTCACAGTTGAGTGCTGCCTGGCTAACCATCAATTGTTATATTATTTAAACACTAATTAAGTCATTGTAAAAGGCACAGGCACAGGCAGAGGCAAAGTTCTTAGCCCCGCCTTGGGCAATAATAATACCCGCCGATATTCAATTGTTTTTGCAGTGTAGGCACGCGACTCTGCTGCAAATTCCATGCCCCCAAAGTTACGGCAGCACTCAGCGTGGAGTTGCAAGCACACTAACAGACAGACAGACGGAAAAAATATATATATAATTGCAACAAAGAATTCTGAGCTGCCATTGCAGCAAATTGAATGCGGCTTTGGGGCACATGCTTTGCTTATGACTTTTTAAATGTGTTTGTGGCTTTATCAATATAATTTTGGTGTTTGTGGCAATTTTCCATGTTGCTGATTGGCGCTGCCCGATTGGCCATAGACTCCACTACTATGTACCATGTGCAATCTAGGCTGTGTGTGTGTGTGTGATCGTATTACCCTCGGCTCTAAATTCTTGTTTATAGTAATTTGCGCAACAATTGACAGCAGTGCCTGTCCCTGCCCTCCCCCCTTGAAGCTGGAGAGAGGCGTGCTGTTGGGTGGTGGGTTATCAGAGTGTGTGCTGACTGCAGGAGAGGCAGATCTCTGCAGTCTCGGACGTTTGACGCCAGCTGGGCAGTGAAAGGTAGCCGGCGTCAGAGCACCACAACATCCAAAAGTGTACTCCAATTCTCGTCGTCGTCGTTGGTCGGGGCCCACAAACTTGGGCGTCGGCGTGCACGTACTCTCCGGTTTTTTTGTGTGTGTGTGTGTGTGTGTGTGTGGGCATTTTTTTTTGATACACATTTTCTTGACTGTGACTGTGACTGTGACTGTAACTGCGCGGCTGCAGCACAGGTTTGCATTTGGAAAAGCTAGGCAGGTCTTTTGGTATAAAAGTTGGCACAATTTGGTAGTCGAAATCAGAATCAACTCGTTCGCTGAGTATTCAACACAAGTTTACCTTCTTCTCCTCCAACAACCACTCTTCAACCACCCACCCCCCAAAAGCAACATGAAGGTAAGACAAAGAACAACAGACAACAGACAGCTGGAGCACCACCCACAAGGATTCTGATTCTGATCACACTTCCTATCTCCCGCCCTTTCCCTGCAGTTCGCCGCCGCCGTAGTCATGCTTGTGTGCGCCCTGATCGGAGCTGAGGCCTCGTGGAATGCGCTCCAGATCGCTCCTGGTGTCTCCTACGTTAACTCTGTGGCCCATGGCGCTGGCGCATGGGGTGGCCCCTGGAACGGTGCCTGGAACGGTGGCTGGAATGGCGCCTGGAACGGTGGCTGGAACGGTGCCTGGGGTGGTGCACCCGCTGCCGTCGCTGTGCATGCCGGCGCTGGCGCTCCCTGGGGCCTGACCGCACCCGGCTGGCATGGCGCCTCTGTGCCCGGCATTGCCCTGGCCCAGGGACCCGGCCTTGCTGCCGGACACGGCCATGAGGGTGTCTATGTGGCCAAGACCCGTGGTGCCATCCACACCGCTCCCCTGGCCGGACACATCAACTCGGCCACCTCGGTGAACGTGGCCGCCGCTCCCGGAACTCTGTAAGTCAATCGTCAGCCAGCCACCGACCGACCAATCGAACCGATGCCAAACGGATGTGACGGAGGATGCGGGGCGGATGGCCACAGGAGCTCAGGAGTCATCCCACTTCGATCTCTCCTTTCATCTGCTTCAGCGACCGACCACCTTCCACGACTCTCAACCGGATTCTTCCAACCCCCCGCCCCCGAACTCTCTCTCTACACAACTAAATGTTAAGCACACACCGCTCTTAGTACCCAGCCACCCCCCGACCCACGACCCCCCACCAGCCCTGATATACGAACACGATCCTGATCTTGAGGCGATCGATGATCCACGATACACGATCCAGCCCCACTGATCCCTCAGCAATTATTAAGTCCAACAACAATTACAACAACTACAAAGAAACCAACAAACTGACAGCATGTTAATTTTATTATTTGAGAACTTCCTTCATTCTATTCTACATCCATCTATGTATCTCCTTTCAAACGTTTTTCACATCTTCCAGCCAGCCAGCCAGCCAGCCAGCCTTACTTAGCTGTACATCTTTCTATATCTGTCTCTACTATATCTATCACTATCTCTGTCTCACTCTGTCTATGCATTATCTGAGCATTTCTTTTTGCGGAGAAATGCTTTGAGGCAAACTGTAAATATACATCATTCCCCCTGTACTCTAGTAGTAATCTGCAACAATGTAAAGATTGACGAAAGCGTTATAAATAAACTCGAATCAGCGTTTGTTTTATACACGACAAATCAAAGAGATTCTTGAATTATTTTGGGCGAATTTTAGGAGTAGAACTTGACACTTTTATTTAATTTATTTAATTAAAGTTTATAGCCAGAGAGGCACAAGGGCCTTCAGGCTGTGGAACTTAAAATTTTTGCAGGGTTTTTAGAGCTCTATTCTATACTTTGTTTACTGTAGGCTGTAGGCATTCCAATTTACAATTTATGGCAAGTTTTAGGACACTGAAATCAAGGAAAAGGGGTTCATAGCACCTCTCTCCCTTCATACACTTCCATTCCAACTTAAATCCAGGAAGAGGGGTTCATAGCACCTCTCTCTCTTCATACCCTCGCATCTCTCCAGCATTGTTTTACTTCCCACACGACCTTGACATAGCTCTGTGGCACCTGTATCGAATCATGCCCCTTCTGTTGTTTGATCTAAACACTAATATGATTTAATTATTACCTTGCCCCGGGGGGTGTGGCACTGTTCCTTTTGTTTTTGTTTGAAATAATTTTTGCACCTGCTGAACCTTGAATTGATTTTGCTGATAAGTCTGCCCGAAGAATGTCTAGATCAAATGTGTCTTTGTCTTTTAATTAGTTTAAGTTAGGAATTAGCTGGGGGGGTATTATTATTATGGCTGGCAATCCCAATTTGTTTGCACACAGAAACTGCTACCAGCAGCTAGTCTGAACGGTAGTCAAGTTGGAGGCCAATGGTCATTAGATCGAGAGAGTTAATTGTCGCCATACATACTGTATCTATCTGCTGTGTATTGGGAGCACAGGGCGTATGCTTAATTATGCAAACGCTTAACGCTAATTGCACATCCAAAGACTCAGACTTTACAGTCAGCAGCTGGTCTTCGAGTGCAGCTAAATAATTGCCAGCAAATAGCAAATTATAGCGATGGCTAATTACCGATTATCATCGAAAAGATTTCAAACTTGAACTCTTACACACAGATCACCCACACACACACACACACACACATATCCATATCCATGTGATTGTGGTGGGAAGGGGGCAAACCAGTTCTAATGCTTTCCAAATCGAAGGCTTTTTTCGGCATTAAATTGAATTGTCTCTGTTTAATTGCTTCGCCTAATGGGCGCCGCCTGTGGACAATGTGGGAAGTCTGGAACTGCAGTCGCAGCCGCAGCTGGAGCTCCGGTGCAGACACCCACACTCTTCCTGCCACGCCATTAAATCCAAGTGAATGTTGTGCAACGTTTTGGGCTAATGCTGTGTATCGAAGGGACATTCCATGCCCGTTCCCACACCAGAAACCCCCCCAAAATTTTAATTAGTTATAATTCCAACCCCAACAGTCCCACAGAATTAACCCTTACGAGAACATAAATCAGTTATTAGTTGGCCATATGCAGGATATGGATCAGACCATAATTGGATTTGCATTATTCTCGTAAATCAATGCTGAAAATGCTAATCATACACAAACAACAATTAAGTAATTAAACCGAACCAAACGAAACGAAACGGTGTGATGGAGTGAAAATCAACTTACCGGAACTGCAGCTTAAAAGTGGGTTGGGCGCGGCACTCAAAGCCACTCTAAGAGACAGAGAGAAAAGAGAGAGAAGAGATCGAGAAACACTCACTGGGGAATGCATTTCTGGGGCGTTGCAGCGTTTGTCAGTGCTGTGCAGAATCTGTGGGGGGTACCGATGGCAGCTGGTTCCAGTGAGGAGAACATTTTAATGCAGAGGAATTTTCTGCTGCTCAAAGGAAGATTTGTTGCTTAAGAAAATAAGCTGAAGATGAGGTTTGGGATGTGCTTTTTTATAAATTTTAATAGGAGTCAAGAGGTGATGTTCTCGCCTTGGAAAACTGGAAGTGAAACATGAGTTGGTTCAAGATTTATTTTAATATTTAATTAATTACAGAATGATAATTTCTGTGTGTCCAAACCTCTTCATATGCTTTTAGTGCTTAAAGAAATTTTAATAGAGGTAGTCGGAATATTTTCTGGCCATACAGACACCAATCCAGCAAGGGTTGAATCTGGCGGTAGATGGAGCAGCGTAAAATCAAGTTTCCAGAAGGATATTCCCTTGCATTCAGTCTAGTCTAGCCTGAGACTATAACTACTAGCAGAACTAGTTCCCCGACACGATCAGCTCTAACTTAGCACTTGCAGCAAGCAGCCACAGCCGCAGCGGGCGGGTGTTCAGGGCGCGTTAACAATGTCTCGAGCAGTCAAGGCGGTGATCTGTGAGATCGCTCATACGATAGATCGATCGATCGGAGCGGTGTAAGCCATGTCATTAGCACTGGCAGCGTATGCAAGCGGAGCTCCGCTGTCCCACTGTCCCGCTGTCCCCCTGTCCACTGACACCATGTGTGAACTCTCACTTTCATGAACTTTTGTAGTTGTCGCCGGTGCAGTGCAGTGCAGTGCTGGTGGTCAGCCATGTGGGGGACGGACCGCAGTCGGGTATAAAGCTGGCCAGCAGAACAGTCCAGAGATCAGTTCAGAACAAGAGTTCAACAAGAGCGCTACCAAAACCAAAACCAAACAGCAAAATGAAAGTGAGTTAAGATCGGGATGGAGGCGCCACTGGCACTGTGAATCCTTTGCTAATTTGGGGTGTCCTTTTTCCAGTTCGCCATCGCCGTTGTCTTCACTCTGGCCCTCGCCATGGGCGTGCAGTCGTCGGTGATTCCCCTGCTCTCCTCTCAGGTGGCCGGACATGGACTCTCGTACACCGCCGTCTCTGGACCCGCTCTGCTTGCCTCTCCCTGGGGACCTGCTCTCGGCGCTCCCTGGGCTCATCCCGCCGCCGCCTGGCCCGCAGCCGTGAGCGTCGGCTCCTGGCCGCCAGCAGCTATCCACGCACCCGCTGTCGTGGCTGCTGCCCATGGGCCCGCCGTTGTCGTTGGCCCTGTTGCCCATGAGGGTGTGTACACGGCCCAGACCCGTGGTGCCATCCACACCGCTCCCCTGGCCGGACACATCCAGTCGGTGGCCGCCATCAATGCTGCCCCCGCACCCGGAACCCTGTAAGTGACAGGATCTCTCCTGATAGTTTCCAAGTCCACCAACTACGATCGGACCGCCCCGCCATGCCATGGAACTGCCATTGATGAACCACAATACTGTTGTACACAAATGTATATATATATATATAGATCTATATAGACAGGGTACTCGCACCTAGCACTTGAACTTCAACCTCAACCCCATAACTAGCCATCAAAATTCCCTTTCGACCCAAGCACCAGTCAGCAACCAACACTGGCTGGTGTCTCTCTCTCTTGCGCTCTTTATAGTATTTATTTCGAATACATTTTCCAAGCATTCCTGGCAAAACAAAACAGAAGAAGGACTTTCCTTTGAAGGAACGCTGCGATCATTCCATGGGGAAATGTTTGAAATTATGCAAAATAAAGAAAATGTAACTAACACACAATTTGATTTAATTTGGAAGGAAATCCTCTCTCTCTTAGGATTTCTGAGAAAAATCTTAGAGCTTTGAGAAATTTCGAAAGTTAACTGTGATCGTTTGATTAAAAATTTACCAAAGTAATTTAGGGATCACATTTCGGGGATCATATTCCGAGTTTACAAAAACTTCCATAAAAATTAAATAACAAAATGAGGAGAGATCACTGGCTGAAAGAGAATGCTACAAATGCTTAAAAATCTTCAGAGTTTATTAGCAAAGTTAATAAATTCTTTGAAAATTTCACAGCTATTCACAGTCCAAGTCAAAGTCATAAATCTCTGTCACTAACATTGATTTCGACACGCAACAAACCATAAAAAGCGACAAATATTGGACTTTAGATTTGTCTGAAGCTCGTAATAGCTCAATTAACTACATAATGGATGCCACTTAAACGAGTTTAAATTGTGCAGCTAATCCCATGATCGACTGCAAAATACCGCGTAACTGGTGAATTCCACAATAGAAAAAACTGAGTCAATTAGTAAACACAGTCCGTTTGGCTGATGACAACAATGATTTGAACAGTGTTACGCCTTCGAATGTGCATAGTTGATTGATTCATTGACTCAAATGGAACATGAGCCTCACCCCGACGCACTCTTCTGAGCATCCACATGTCCCCCCATGTTCCCACTCCTCTACGCAGCCCCTAGGTGGCAGTTTTCCGAACAGAGCAACGCAATTGAATGGAAAGGCTGAAATGTCAAGTTCATGCGCATGCGCAACGCTCAACGCTCAACGCTCAACGCTCGACGTTCAATGGCGAAATGCATCCACAAATCAAATCAGAGCATTCACACCCCTGCCCCGGGCACTCCTTTCCACACCGCTGACCGCAACAGAATCCAACTGCGAAACCAAATGCGTGATTGCCTGACCCCCATACATCTCCCTCCCCTCATACCTAATATCGTTTTCTATTGCCACTCGGCGGTTCACGCGCTTGTTTTTGTTTACCCTTTCAAAATAATAATATGATTTTTAACAGAGACTTGTGACACAGAGTAAAGCATTTGAAAACTTTTGTGTGTTTCAAAAATAAAAGTAACTTCCAGACATTAAAATAGATATGCGGCATACCGGATCACTATGTATTATATATTGTATATTATATTATATTATTATATTGTTATATAGTATATAACAATCACCATCTCCAAAGGGTATCACAAAATTCGGCCACCGATATGCGAATTACTTTCTTGTTTTTCATGTTTTGCTTTGCTGCCGCATTTGGCTCTTGAATGAAATGCGTCAGTGTATCAATAACGGACACCCCTGTGCCGCCCCTCCCCTTTTGGGTGCACAGCATTTGGCGATTGAACGGACTTACTTGACTGCAGTGATTTATTGCACGCCCGCGGGCCAAGAGTCAATCGTCGTCAGTCGTGTCGACAGCCTCCCCTTACTGGGAGCACGGCTCGTACACGTAAATGGTAAGAAATTTCCTACTGGACTTCCTTTTGGCCAGGCCCGGTAATTGTTACAGCAAAGAGAAAATCACTCAAATGTGTGTGCGGGGGGCTCACAGCGAATTGGCGGTGCTCTTACTGCCCAAAATGTAACTCTTTGCGTGACCCCTTATTTACTTGCCCTTTTACAACCTTTTGGGTTATTAGCGAATTTCGTATACTCTCGTGAGTGTGCTTTCCTTCACCTGCATTACTCATTGGCTTCGAACTCAGAGCATTTAAGCGTCATGACGAGTCGCCTTTGCTCTTACTGCCTTTTATTTGACACTCTTTGCCGCCTCTTTTGCTTACACTCATTGGCTGTAGGGTCAACACGAATTGTGTGTGCTCTTACACTTTTCCACCCTAGGGAATCTGCTCTGCCTGCCCATACGTAATTGTAGAGCATTCGGTGGTTCTGCGTACTCTCATACATTTACCGCTCACTCACATTTGTAGAGCACAACACAGCAAACCATGCAAAAGCGCGCTCTCTCTCGCTCCCGCTCTCACTCTCTTTTTGCATTTCTCCCAACAACAAACCAATTGGCAAAAGAGTAGAAATAGCAAAAACAGCGGAGGACAGCAGCGATAAGAGACAGCGGCAGCAGCAGCATTTGGCCGGCGACTATCTGGCTGCGTCCGCGGCAGAGCTGCCTGCCTCAGTCGTTCGGTTGGAAGAGCGGCGGCGTCAACGTGCTTTCGGATTGGTATTCGGTATTCGGGGAATATCGCGCAGAACCAACAGAAAACTGAAATCAAAGTGCATGGAAGATTCGTGCGTGATTGCGAAAAGTGTCGCCGACTGCAACTGTGAAATGCATTGAGAGGCGCAAGAGTGAAGAGCGAATGCAAATGTGAGTGCCAGGTGCGTGATTTGATTGGAGGCGGATGATAAGCCCGTTAAGGCGGCGCCTATGCCGCTACCTTTGTTTGAATTGTCTTGTGCAAAGAAGCAGGAGCAGGGTGGCTAAGGATGGGGCTGGGGGAGGAGGAGCAGCAGACTTGGCTGCCACTTGAGACGCCAACTTTTTGCGTCTTTTTCTTGGCTATATGTATCGTATCGTATACTTTGTATATGCACATATACATATAACAATGTGCGATTGTTTGATTATGGTTAGACTTTCTTGAACTTTTCTTTTTGCAAATTTATTGCGCTTTATAAAAATTTCGTTTCGTTTCGACTAATTGAACACGTTTGCCGCCGTCGGTATCCAGCACACGCCCAGTGGCAGCAACCACCCACAGAAATAAACAAACAAATTTCAAGTCCAATGGGAATTACACAATGCGGGAGAGTCAAAAACAAAAAACAGCTGATTTGTACCCTCCTTTCCCAAGCGTCCCGCAGTGTTTCATTCCCCTTATTCTACACTTGTTGAAGCGTTTGGGAAAAAGAGAGCGACTAGGCTGTACGTCTCTCGTTAATTGCCTCTCTCTCGTGCTTTCGCTTTGAACGAGCAATGTCAAGCAAGGCGTAGTATTTAAGAGGTAAGGCAGTTTCGCTCTCAAGAGTTTTCAATATGAGCTTGAAATGTCTGCATGCAGTTTTGCCTTACCTTACCTTGGCAAAGAACACCGGCATTTAGAGAGAGAGAGAGAGAGAGTGTAAAAGAAGAGAGAGAGAGCAAGTGCAGCATCAGCTGGCTGTGTCCGTCCATTGCCCTCATTTGCCATCCCACTCCGACATTTACTTAATTCCATTCCGTTTCGATTGAGATGCGATTTGATTTAAATAAAACAACGCGCTCCCTGTCTTTGTTTGCGGATTAATTCCTATTTGTTTTGTTTCCCATTCCGATTGGAATCGTTCTTTGTTTGTTCTTATCGATGCTCACGAGTACGGGGTATTTTACTGCTTATATGAGCTATTTGCGGCAACTGCGCGTCCGACCGATGAACGGACAACGGCATAGCAATGTCATTGCACAGTGGCACGAATGGGATTTGGAGTGTAGTGCACAATTATTCTTAGCCCGCTAACAACTCGCTTTAAATTGTATTCAAGTTTCCCATATATGTATCAGACGTAGTCTTGCCATTTCCCACAGCCTTTGTCCCACTGTACTCGCACACGCATGCACAAAAAAAAACAGTATTTATTATTTAATTAAATTCGTGATTTGTTGCGCTCTTTGTTGCTATTGCTGCTTTTATTATTATTTTTTTTTTTTATTTAGTGGCAGAGAGTGAGAGCGGGGAGTGCCCCATCAAATCGCATCATTTGTCGCTGAGCATCTGATGCGACCGCTTGGTTCCGACTGCGCTTGGAGCTGGAGAACTTGGAGCTTGGAGTTCGTACACACAAATCTCGGTGCTGGATCGGTCTGTCTGTCTGTCGGTCTCTGGGGTGAAGTGTCGCGTCGTGACGAGTCTCGATTTCAATTAAAGACTGCTGCTGGCAGCTATAACATCTTATTAACTCTCAACTGGCGGCCCTATTAAGAAGATTATCATCCATAGACAAGTCAGCGAAAAAAAATAAAAAACATTGCTACGTCGGACTGACCCAGAAACTCCGGTGAAACTGGGTCAGAGTGCGAAATTCACGTATAGTGCGGTACGAAACGGAATGAACTTGGAACGAGGAGAGCAAAAAGTGCCAAAAACAAAAAAAAGCTGCGCGCGTTATAAGTGAGATTCTCTGGGGAATCTCAGGTGTTGTGGAGACACTTCCGTGGGTGGAATACATGACGTTGGTCCGCCCATCATGAAAGGCATCTGCGGGGAGCAGCTCAACCATTGCATGCTGCTGGGCGACTGCGAAAACGGTGGAGATGGCGGCACAATAGTTGGAGCTGAAGATGGCATTGGCGTTACAGGAAGCGGAGGATTGGCTGCCTCAGCGCGTCACATCCGCTTGCGGCAGGTGCAGAGCATGGCCGTGCCAGCGACCAGCGCCTACGACACCCTGGAGCGGCCCTATCGCCATGACAAGGCACGCGGACGCTGGGCCAAGTCGGCGGACTTTTATTTCGCCAGCTGCACCCATTGCTTCACCTCGGTGATGTTCTCGGACCTCCCCATCTTCGGCCTAATTAACGGCGGCTGGGGTAAGTGTTGCCGTTCCCATTCCCGTTCCCATTCTAATTTGTTATCAATGGATTTCAATTAACTAAACCAAAGGTTATCGGGGGACTGCCTTAATTGCTGGGCATTGTGTGCGTTCCTTTTCCATTATAAACAATATTAAATTGGCGAGCGATAAGGTGAATGACTGTAAGACGTTAGCAGTCAGGGTTGTCATCAAGCCACAGAAAACCACAACAATAGAAAAAGAGAGCAAACGATTCATCAGAAACCAAAATAAATAATACAAAAATAGAGAGCCTGATTCCACTAACAGATTCATCATAAACGGGGGGCTATAATCAACTGCCAACTGGTTACGAACAGATATAATCGGTGGCTATTCTGGGGTCATTAGTTAATGACATAATTACACACGTTTCTACATACAAATATACGATTCCAGATAAAGCAAATAATGACAGAGTGCTGTGGCAGATAAATCTCTAGAGAGAGGAGAGCATATTACTAGCACTTTTATGTGACCGCAGATCAAGGTTCTGGAGATTGTAGCATGTATTACTAAGCAAAGTAATTGATCATAAGGGAATTACATATATAATATATATATATTTATCGCTCAGCAAAAAATATCGAAATTAATCATTATTAGGCATTATGTCGGTTCCATTTTTACTCTTTAATCTAGTTTACAGAAATATATTTAAGTTTCTTCCCTTTATCCAATTCCTTTACTTTTTCATCTCTTTACAGTATTATTTATTATCGCCTATCTTATGGGTATTTTCATCTACTCCCTGCCCATATTTTTGATCCAAGCATTTCTGGGACAGTTTTCCACTTCCGGATCTATTTCAGCATTTCGTGTGGCGCCCATTTTTAAAGGTAAGAGCCCATCAACAATCTTGCAACAAACACACCCCCATAAGTTGGCTAATAATGTGGCACACTTTTAGGCATCGGCTATTCCATACTGCTCATAAATCTGGGAACACTCACGTACTACAGCATTGGGGCGGTGGTGCCACTTATCTACGCTGTGAACACTTTGCATGCGGTGATTCCATGGATGCACTGCAACAATACGTGGAACAGTGCTGACTGTTCCACCTACGACAACTACGATCAAGATGTGAGTGGACTAAAAGATAATTGTAATATATTTTTGCTAATTTTATACCTGTTTTCTTTACAGAATTTCACTGTCGATCCACATTCCACTGTGGAGTTCTTTCGGTGAGCAATAGATTTATTCAAATGTGAGCTTCAAATTAATATCTTTCTTTTTGCTCAGATCGATGATTGCCTCCACGGGCGAAGGCTCTACTGCCATGAGCACCTCCTTGTCCATGGTCGTGGCTGTGGTGGCCATTTGGCTGCTGGTACTGGCCCTCCTGCTCAAGCCCGTTGCCTTTGTGAGTGCTTTTTTTTCCAGTTCGTCATCTTTAGTCCCATATTGTGATATCCTTTTAGATTGGCAAGACGCTGCGTTGTGCTTGTGTCGTGATGTTTGCCTTCTTTGTGGCCGTTTTCTTCTATTTGGCCATTCACGAGAGCGTGAACCTTGGGACCATAAAAAGCTACCTGCTGCCTATGTTCTACAACATGAAGCAACTTTTGGGAGCTGCAAGGTCTGCCTTGCTATTAGCCGGCCTGGCCCTCGGCCCCGGCTATGGCAGTATCATCAATCTGGCGAGCTACAACAGCTTCCGCAGCGATGCCGAACGAATGAGCATTTGGGTGTGCCTCACCCATGCCACCATTGGCCTCTTGGCCGTCCTCTGCTGCAATGTGGCCCACGATCATTTCGAGGGTGAGTATCCAACTGGTTGCTTAAGCGTTTGTAACTATGTATATCCCTTCTTTTGCAGATCATGTGGGCATGCTGCCGTTGCATGTGGATGAGAAGCATGCCATGCAGTACTTGTATCTCAGTTTCTCGTATCTGTTCGGCCGCTTTAGCACTGTGCCCAATCTCTGGGCATTCCTGTTCTTTGTCATCATCTTTCTGGCTGAGCTTTCAGCATTGGTGAGGGTTTATTTGTAGCTTTCTTTTAAGGCCAGTGTCTAATGGTTTCATTTCTATTGTAGATGATCCAACTGCTGTCTGTGCTGACGTCCCTCTTCGATGAGTTTGAGTGGTTGAGGTGCAGAAAGATGCCAATTATCTGCTCGCTGATCTTCTGTCTAGCAGCCACATCCCTGTACTTTTGTACGCAGGTCTGTTGGGGAATTTCCGCTCAAAGAAATCATCTCTACAGCTTTTTTTATGCCACTTTCAGTTGGGCTTCAGTCAGCTAAATCAGCTGCCACAGCTGGCCATGTTCTCTCATGTCATCATTTCGGGTGTGCTCGTCCTGATGGCCACTTGGGTCTATGGCCGTGTGCGCTTCCAGTGCGATCTGCAGTTCATGCTGGGCAAAACGATCTCAAGCTTCACCATATTCTTTATACGCTTTGGCACGCCCATCTTTCTGGGGCTTTGTCTGGTAGGCAATCGATTTTCCATGTTTCCAATGAGCCAATGATCCTAGAATGTTTTTTCGTTTCAGTATCAGCTCGGCTACATATTGTTAAGTTTCAATGGACTCCATCCAGTTCTCATGTGGCTGAGCCAGGGGCTGATTTTCCTCGTGGCCATCGTGTATATGGCCTACAAGGTGACCAAGACGAACGGCAGCTGGCGGCAGCGACTGCAACAGTGCCTGGCGCCCCATGACTGGCATCCGGTGGATGCGGACAATCGTCGCTTTTACGAGGAGATAATGGGTATCTCCGAGATGCTGGTGATCGATGCCAATGCCAATACCACATAGTGCCTGTATTTGAAAAAGAAATACTCTTAGAATCGAATCAAAAAAGACCCCCAGGGGTCACCGTTCGTACTTAAGTCGCAGTCGCGCCCCCATGACACGTGAATGACGAGAGGTCGGTCATTCTCTGCCGCAGGTTGCGGCTCGAACTGAAACTCACTTTTATTATACACCACATAAACGAATTCACTCGGAATCAAAACACGGATCAAGTGCAATTGCTGATGGCTGACTTTTTTGATGGAGCTGTACTGATATTTTCCAAACGCTAGCTATAGTCAACAATAAACTGGTGATATTTAGTAGTTGCCTACAAAAAAGAACTAAAACTAAAACTAAAAACTAAATTCCGCCAAAAGGTAAACGGAAGTTCTACAAGCTTCGGCCAAAAATAAAATATTTAAAACAATAAAATTTTAAAATAAAAACGAGAAGGAACGTGTAAGTCGCTTCTGTGGACGCGACTCTACTTTTATACTCAGTCTATATATTGTGAGATTATGTATAATTTTAAAATAATTTACATTTGACATGTTTTTGCTACATCTGTTATCTACATCTACAATGTCGATTGTAAATTATACATACATACCAATGTACATCTACATCTTCTCCGCAAAGGTCGCGCATTGCACAGGGCATAGTGTGTGCGAGCGAGAGAGAGAATGAGTAGCGTGCGTAGCACAGAGAGGGGCGGGTGAAGTAACTGAAAAATAGTTCAAGATTATGCGCGTAAATGGGGGTTCTCGGAAAATATAAAGCTTGAAATTGTATTGACCACCCAATCGACTGATCGACTATCAGTTGCTCTATGCATCAGCAACCCCTTGACTTGGTATCTGATGGAGATGAATGATCGAAAAAAGGTATAGGGAGGCTGCTGTGGGGCATGTGTTTGATTAAACTATTATCTCGTAGAATGTAGGTCTCTCTCTTTGTGCCGAGTGGATGCATTATTTTTTTGTACTACCGCATTTTATATAGAGCTTGTTGAATACTTTCAGTCAGTGTGTGTTACAGATGTCTGTAAAAAATAAAGCATGTGTAGTAAATAATATTTACACAATATTTGTACTATTTTACTAAATACGAGTATGTATTTATTTATATACTACTCGTTAGTATGTACATATATTGTGCTCGTGTCGTAAATCGTGATCAGCGATTAGCGCTAATCCTAATCATTCAATCAGTTATGAGAAAAATGTTGTTTATAAATTTATTAAGTGAAATCACTTTAAAAAATTTCCCGAATTTCGGTGAAATCTATTTTGCTCTCGGGCAAGTGCCATGCTTATGCTCGACGAGGTCACTGCGGTTATCAGTAGCAAATAATATTCCCTGCATAAATAAATACTGAATAATTGGCTGACTATTAAAATTTTTAACAAATTTGTTTCATATTTAATTTGAACTACTATTTGGCATTCATATTATTTGCCATTGAGACTAAGCTATTGTTGATAAGACTTATATTTTTTTTATTTAGGGGGGTTTTTATAAACAATTATCTGCTAATTATGGACTAGGATAAAAATAACTAAGAATAAATAAAGAGGAAAAAATACAAAATAAAATTGAAAATTCGCTAAATTTAGATTATAGTAAATATAATGTAATAAGATGTTAAGGGACATACGGATCGTCAAACTCCTTTGACCAACGCTTGATAAACGCTAAAACTCCCTTTGCTTTGTTTACCCATAAAGCAATATGGCTGTTGAAACATAGCTTGTGATCGCAGAGCACTCCTAGGTCATTTGATTTTAAAATTCGATGCAGAACATGATGTCCTAGAGAACTGGGGACCAAATGAGGCTGTCGGCGGTGAAAGGTCATAACTTTGCACTTAGAATGGTTCCAAAAAAGTAAGTTGTTCGAACACCACATGTTTAATTCATCAAGGTCAAGTTGTAGGCGATTATGCTAGTACCAATCAGAAAAGGAAGAACCGATTTTAACGTCATCAGCATACATTAATGTAGTTGAGTGCAGAATAACTTGAGGCAGGTCATTTTCAAACAGATTGAACAGCAGCGGACCTAAATGACTTATAGGACATTAAAAGGTACTATCCGTATGTATTTTGGTCAATTTACCTAGAAGACTGCATACGGTCTGATATTGAATGGAGAAATGGCTTCTTAGTTGTTTGAGATTATAGGAACAGTGACAGTGACAGTCTTATTTATTATTATTTTTTGTTGTATCTACAATCGGATTCGATGTCATTGCGGTTCCGTCCGTCCGCCCATTTTTGCCCAAACACAGACAAATATCAGATCGGTTTGCATTCTCCGGCATCCACATGAACTTTTTCCAAATGAACTTGGCGATGTGTGATGTCCCGCACAAGTGGAACAGCCAGTGGCGTAGCTAGGGGGAACAAAAAAAATAAATTGGGGCCCCAACTAAAGTCAGACACTTTATCATTAAGAGGGTTTTGTGTGAGCCTTATGGATTAATTATATTGGTATTAGGTCAAGAGGTAAATCGAATTCTTTATTTGAAGATGTATGTGTTCAAAAAACTTTATTGTACATTTAACAAAATTACAATCTTATTCTTGCCTTACTTACTCGACAAAATTAAACTCTTTATTTACGCTTCGAACAAAACCAACTTTTTCTGATAGATTAAATTTCCGACCCCATAAAGTATATATATTCTTGATCAGCATCAATAGCCGTTCTATCTCTGTGTGTCCGTCTTGATGAGCGCCTATATATCAGAGACTATAAGAGCTGGAGCAACCAAATGTTGATATCACACTGCTACAAGTGTATTTCAAAATTTCGCCTCGCCTGTAGCAAAATAATTGAAAATGTAAAATATTTAAAAATTCTACATAAATTCTAAGCTCACAAATTTATATACTTACTGAATACTGGTATAAAAGTAGAGTCGCATCCAAAGAAGCGACTCAAAAGTTCCTTCTCGTTTTTTTAAAATTTTTTTTTTTTGGATATAGTGCATTAATTGTGCGTCGTTTGAAGTATTTTTCATTAAATTCAATGAAAAAACGGCTGATCTGAAATTGGTTGACAAACCCTCTGAAAATCATATATTACCGTTTGGAACGTGACCTCAGCCATTTTTCCATAGAATTTTATGAAGAATACTTTATACAAGTCGAATTCATGCTTGCAGAAGTGTGGAGTGAGAGATATTTTGGGGTTCGGGCCCCGGGGGCCCCGGGCCGGCGCGTAGCTACGCCCCTGGGAACAGCACGAGCCATACACACAAGCGTTGATAATGAATAAATGCAATAATAAACATAAAGTCGAGAAAATAGATACACTAACGAAAGAACTTTAGAAGAGGTAATACCTATCCTTCCTCCAATCTTTGATCAGGTGCTGCCTTTAGGGACACATTATATGGGACCCATTGTAGCTAAAATTGCCACAGAATCAGACACATTAATTCTCTGCTCCACTCCTAAGCAACCCTCCAGCTTTCTCAAGTGTATGCCAGGCTGCCAGCAAAAGTAGGAATACCCCTTCCCAGGTTATCCGCTGCTGTCGTCTACTGGGATGAGCTCGACGGCGGCTTGCAGTCCGATTTGAATTCAGTTTGCCGGCATCGGCTCTACTAATTAGTCCGTCAATTTAAAGTAGAAAACGCGCACGGATCGTTCGCAGCACAACAACAGCAACAAAATATACAGAGAATACATAGATTATATGTATATACAGCTGTTCTCTAAGATTATTTACATATAAATCATCTAAATCAAGGCTGCTGCCGCCATGGTCTATGAGACATCATATGCCACCGGCCAGAAACCCTTCAGCCCGGATCTAGATCGTGGAAAATGGGAAAAACCAACGGATTTTGTATACGCCTGCTTTGGACTCGCCCTAAAGATGGACATTTTTGTGGCCTCATATTGGTACTTCTTCGATTTGGGCAGTGAGTAATGGGCACATTGAACCGCAGTTTTCAGCGCTAGAAATAGAATCAAGCCAGGGCACCAGGCGGGCACTACGTAGTATAAATGGTAGATAGAAGCTGCTAATCTTTTTAGGGGCGTACCATTACCTGACCTACAGAACTGATATACAAAGGACTGAATATGATTCATCGTATTGATTTACGTTGGTTGAGTTGGCAAGAGAGAGAGAGATGATGATCGATTATTTTTTGATGCTGCTTAATATAATTTTTTCATAATTTCTTTTGTAGTTTTTGGCATGCTGCCCTACTACATGTACATGGTCATCTTTTTGGTGCCGATTCTGGTGATACATTCCTTCATGGGACAATTTTCCAGCAGCGGCTTTATATCAGCATTTCGTGTGTCGCCGTTTTTCAAGGGTAAGCTAGGAGGGACTTCACCCTTTTCCCTTGGTGTATTATTACCCATATGTATATGTTTTTTTTCAGGCATGGGCTATGTCAGCACTTTGCTCACCATCTCCATGCTCATCTACTACGGCATCTTTGCGGCTGTACCACTTTTGTTTATCATCAACTCCATTCGTCCCACGCTGCCATGGAGCTGTGAGGGCATAAAGTCCTGGCACAACGAATCCAGCGATCAGTTGACTGTAAGTAGTGCCGATTCGATTGTTTCACTTAGCTAACAATCTCGCTTCAGATTTGCAATCATACAAAAGCCGATGGGGACTTAATTAATTTTAGCGACAACGAAACGAGCGACTTCAAGCTACTTCATGTGCCATCGGTGCTCTACTTCCAGTGAGGCACTTGCAAGCATTTCCATATTTGCCTCATCATGACTGATGCCGCTCTTTTTTTGTTGCAGAAACCATTTTAGCCTGAATGAGGTGTATCGATTTGCGGATCTGGGCCAGGACTACGAGCTGTCGTGGCATTTTGTGGGCCTCTTTATAGTGGTCTGGTCCATCATTGGCTTTATTTTTTACAAGTTCTCGGAGACGGCCAAGTTTGGCTGGCTGCTGCGGCACATGGTCCTGGTGACACTGGCCCTTTTGGGTGTGTGCTTTGTGCGTTTCCTCTTTCTGCCTGGCTCCATCGGTGGACTTATGAATTATCTGACGCCGCGATTGGATGACTTGATAATGGGCAGCGGCTCTACCTTTATTATGGTGCTGCAGGCCTTCGGCGCCGGCTGGGGCAGTGTGATGGCCCTCTCCAGCTTCAATGGCTTCAAGGCCAACATTATGTCCTACTGTTGGATCATTTCCTTTGGCCAGATACTCATTTACATATTCTTTGGTTTGGTTACCTTCATGCTGGAACGTTACTACGAAGGTGGGTTAAGTGAACTCAATTGAAGTGTGATTTAAAACAGCTTTTTATGGCACACAGAACAAAGAACCGACAGCTTCAATAGCCATGTGCTAACCCATTGGCTGTTGTTCCTGTCGAGTGCGAGCGCCTTGGCCAGCCTGGAGTGGCCCAACATGTGGACTGTGATATACTACACGATGCTCCTGCTGGCTTCACTCATTGTGATGGTGGGTGCCCAGTCTTGGCCGGAGTGCTTTAATTCTTTCAAGCTTTCTTCTTTGCAGACCACACAAATATTCACTGTACTTGCGAGTGTCTTCGATGAGTTCGAGGGCCTGCGAAAGCACAAACAGCAAGTGACCTTTGGCCTGATTGCCGGTCTGGCTCTCTGTTCTTTCTTCTTTTGCACGAATGTAAGTGGGAGTGTGCAGCTGTGTAATATTTATCACAAATTCTGTTTATCTCCCGCTCCCCCAGCATGGCATTGCGTACTTCTCGGCTTTGGCCATGGATGCCATTTGGTCGCATAGCCTTTTGCATTTGCTGCTGCTGCTGGTGGTGCTGTGGATCTATGGCCGGGAACGCTTTCAGCGGGACATTGAGTTCATGTTGGGCCAGCCCTTTGCCTCCTGGAAGGTCTTCATACTCCGCTTCATAGCGCCGCTCATACTGATACTTTCGCTGGTTTGTTTTCTGTTTCAATGGAAGTCTCATCTCTTGCCTAACACTCTCTCCTGTCCTCTTCCCTGACGTAGCTAATGGGCCTTGTTGTGGCCATCATGGAGCACTCTTTTTTCTCGTTTATTGTTTTGGTGCTTTCTGTTTTCCTGGTGGTGTTGCCATTGCTGGCCATACCCGGCTACGGCCTGTACCACATGTACCAGAGCACGGGCGGCTGCTGGGAGCGTTTCCGCCGGAGTTGTCGCCCCACCGATTGGTATCCCGTGGACATGGAGCATCGACAGCAGTACGAGGAGGCTGTGGGCAATACCGATGTCACCCATCAGCTGTTCGAGGTCACCGAGGAGGTCAATTAATGGCGAATGCTTTAAATATAAATCAGATTTTATTGGCACTTCTAAGAGTAAAAGTTAATTGGGATTGGGTTGGCTAGGGGGTACTACTTCATCGCATCCGCATCTGTGTCAGACATAAACGCGGGCATTCTGCGCTGCCGGCGGAAGGCCTCGTACTGTTCGCGATCCTGCGGATCCGCTGGGGTCCAGTCCAGCGGCTTCAGCCGCTTCTTCAGGCTGTCCACCATGGTTTCCCGCTTGCGTATCATGATGTACAGCACATACAGCGGTATCCACATCACAGACGACACGAAGCTGGCCCAGCCAATAAAAATGGCCCACTTGGGGTAGATGGTGTTGTTGTATTGAATGGTGCGTATGAAAATGATGCTCATAAAGAAAATGAACTGCAGGGAGGGGAGTAGGGACTGAAGAGGCTGAGGAAGATCAGGCACAAAGGGTACGCACGATTAGAACTATGGGTGTGATCCACTTCCAGAGGATCTTCCAAATGATGGAGGGTCGCTTGCCCATCATGAACTCCACGTCCAGCATGAAGTTGTCGATGCCATAGATAAACGACACCATGATAATCTCCACCAGACAAATGGCTATCACGGATATGGCCGAGGAGTACCAGTCAAACAGCTGCAGGATATACATGCCGCCCTGTGGGAAGCCATTACAGGTGGGGGGAAGCCATTACAGAAATTTGGCAATGCTTTCAAGGTCTACTTACATTTGTGGTCATTATAATGGCACAAAAAAAGAACAAAATGCAGCAGACAAGCGTCAGCTTCCATTTGTGATTCCTAAACCACTTGACTTCGTCCAGCACCGATGAGGTGATGGCCTCCAGCTGCACAAACTGCAAACGGATCAGAGCAAATGATATCAGAGATACTCCCCACACTAAGGGAATGTGCCACCCACCACACTGTCAATGCCCAGCAGGAAGAGCATAAAGAAGAACATAATGGCCCAGAGCTGTGGTATGGGCAGCTTGGCTATCGCCTCCGGATAGGTGACAAATGCCAGACCCGGACCCGAGGTGGCCACCGTAGCCACCGGTATGCCCGACTTCACCGACAGGAAACCCAGAACGGAGAACACCACAAAACCCGCAAAGATGCTCGTAAACACATTGACGGTCACAATCAAAATGGTGTCGAATTTTGCATCATTGCGGAACTCAGTGAAGCTGGCCATGTTGACAATGCCACCCCAGCCGGGACCGAGGCCAAAGAACATCTGTATGGCCGCATCGGCCCAGACTTTCAGATCATAGAGCCGTTCCCATTCCGGATACATGTAGAATTTGATGCCCGTCCAGGCGCCGGGCAGGGTGACGCCACGCACAAACAGAATGAAGAGCAGTACATAGGGAAAGGGCGCCGTAAAGTAGACCACCTTACCCACCTAAAACAGGCACAAAAACTATATGCAGGAGCCACAAACATTTTTATGTGAATTTCTTACCGATTGAATGCCTTTGGCTACGCACAAATAGATGACAATCCAGGATAGAAAGAGGCTGAGTAATTGCTGCCACACAATGCCGCCCAGATCGGCAATGCCACCCGACAAACGCAGCACTTCGCGACTGCAAAAGAATATATAAATTTTGACAGCAAGGATACCTGAGGGAACTGGCACTGCGAACTTACTGAAAAAACTCATCCGCTGATGTCACAAAATCCGTTGAATTTTGTTTGCTTAGCTGTGAAATTAAGGAACAGAAATTAAATACAAAGAGAAGGAACGTTGTGAGTTGCTGCTGGTGCCGCGACTCAACTCTTATACCCGTACTCAGTCAGTAAGTATGTGTGCATGTGTGAGCATATGATTTATGTGTACTTTTGTCTGTTTACATTTTTTGTTTGCTACATCTACATCTAAAATGTAGATTATAAATCCAGATAGCCAGAGGGGGGGGACTCACCTCATCGATGTTAACACAATGATCTGTGTTCCACGAGTGATCGCAGTCCACCCAGGGCACATCCTTGTAGAAGCAGTAGGAGATCATGCGAATGGGATAGGAGAGAATAACCGAATAGTAGCACACACAGTACATATTCACGACGACCTGGGCTATGCCCGTGCCCTTGAGTATTGGCGCCAGGCGGAACATGCCCGTGCAGCCCGTGCCCGAGAATTGGCCGATGAGCACCTCCATGTAGAAGAGCGGTATGCCGGCCAGCAGCACCATTAGAATGTACGGCACCAGAAAGGCACCTGCAACAAAAAAAAGAGAAGAAAATTTGGAGCAAAAATAAAAGCAAAAAAAAAGATATCCTTCGAGCCGGATTTGAACCAGCGACCTATGGATTTCAACATATCGCGAATCTTAAGCTGGTGGTGCATGAGTAGGGCGCTATCCGGTTGCCGTGGTATCGTTCCAGCCCCCAGAGTCCTGCCGCTGCCCGTCGCACATCACCAAGCCTCCTCGTAACTCTACAGTCCACCGCTCTACCAACTGAGCTATCGAAGGCGTCCCCCACAGACCGCCAGAGTGGCCATCAAAAGCGGCAAAGCTTTCGTCCAGCTTTCATCGCTCAAAAGCTAAATATGAAAGCTAAAAATAGCCCACAGACAGCCCCCAGACACGACCCCACTGCACTGCACTCCCCCAGCGCTATTTTCTGTGAGTGAAATGAAGAGAGACAGGGAGAGCGAGAGAGCACACAGTGCAGTGCACGTGGGGTCTGCGTGAGGTCTGCGTGGGGCACTCCGTGTGGCACAGCACTGAGTGTGTGTGGGTGGTTACGTGTGGATGAGTGACTTACCGCCGCCGCTGCGATAACATAAATACGGAAAGCGCCACACATTGCCAATCCCAATGGCATAGCCGATGAGCGAGAGTATGAACTCGGTTTTGGACTTCCACTTGCCGCGATTCGTGTCGCGTTCGATGCGCTTTGATCTTTTCGCTGGTGGCGGACTATTACTCGCCATTCAATGTTCAATTTTACTATGTGTTGTGTTGTGTGTGTGTTCAAGTTCATGTGGAATTTATCATGCTGAGTTTGAATGAAAACTGCTCGGATATTTGAGGTATTTTTGCTTTTGAGAGCAAACAAAATATATTGGTTGGGAATATTGTATATGTAGACTGCCTTTTTTTGTTGCTAGCTGCTGCTGCTGCTGCTGACTTGAATTCTTGCCCGTGCGGATATAGGCAGGCATTACCTGATTTATAGGGCATCTGTGTGAGGCATGTTTCTTGCCACATTATGCTGGAGCTTAGAGGGGATCCTGACTGCAAAAACAACGATCTACATGAATGAAATTTGTCAGGTGCTTCATTGACCGCTCTTTGTATTACAATCCATCCGCCCGGTGTGCCCAACGTTGCCATGTCCACAGTGTCGCCCAGAAATGCTGACAAAATAATTTGCTAATATTTCTGTTCTTTTCTGATCGAAATCTTGAATATACTATGGATACATTTATGGATATTTTGCAGCCTTAATCTTACACTTTCAGGTTTCTGGCTCATGCTCATGGAATGTTTTCTTCCATCGAGTTATATGTGTTTTTATCCTGTGACAAAGTGCACCTTGAATATGGAGGAACATCTCGAAGAAGAGCCGCATAAATGTACGTACTACTTATACGCATAAATAAACCCGATCAAGGGCATTATATTACGAGTATTGGAATTGACTGCGACCAATATGAAGAAACCTTTTTATTCGCGCACAATCATCGCATTCTCCTTTGGGCGCTGTGACTCCTGGGACTTAAATATGCGACACCCTTGCACTCAAGCCATTTTATTATTTAATGTTAGAAATAAATAAATTTCACACTCGGTGCTTTGTTGTGGTTTTAGTAAACGGTTATAACACTTTATTGGCAACGTTTTTAGCATCATTAGATGTACTTAGCTCTGGTTTAGTTCACACGACTCTGAGATTAGTCTAACTTAGGCACTATGTGAGTGGGTTTTTTGTTTGTTTGTTAAAGCTTCGATTTCCTTGTGGCTTCCAGCCGCAGTCGGCGACACAGCTAACAGCTCAGGGCCTGGGCCCCCAGAAGAGCCATCAGTAGAATGGGCACAGCCCTGAGGCTGGGTCCGGCACCGGAATGGCCCGCAATGGCCGTAAAGTCATCTGGTCCGCGTGCTGCACGCTTCTCTGCCTTCTCGCAGAGATTGCCACAGTTGGCATGTTCGCAGATATCGCAGATATTCGACTTGGGCGCCCGATAGAATTGTCTGGCACGACGCGCTAAAAAGTACACAAAAAGGGAAAATCCCCAATTAGTTACCCAACGGGAAATGGAACAGGCTATGGCTATACCGTTGTCGTAGTAGTCATACATGACCACGGCCACCGGACGATGCTTGGTCACCTTGACCGTCTTGTAGGCATGCAGCGTGGGGCATACCTCACGCCTGTCCAAATAGTCAAAGTAAATGACGACCTTGGTGTCGCGATTCTGCGTCTCCACCTTCTTGATGCGCTCACTCGACTCCAGTGTGGGCAGCGTGTCGGTGTCGACGACAAAGCCGCTGGGCAGCTGCACCTCCATCACGGCCATATTGGACCGCTGCTCCGGCTCACCCGCCACGGACACAAAGCTGGCGCAGGCCGACAGGTGCAAGTAGTCGGCATGCGAGTTGCGATTCACAGTGGGATCGAGCACAAAGCGCGGCCAGGCACTGGTCACATTGCTGTTGTATTTGTAGCTAACCTGGGCCAAAGCCATGCCGCGACCAGTGGCCGAAATGATCAGATTCTTCAGGTTGTTGGGCAGCTAGAGGGGGGAAACGTTAATGCGCTTAGCAGGGATTGATTTTCTTCTATGACCTCTCGTACCTCAACAGTTTGCAGCGCGAGCGAATTCTGCGCATTCACATTGAGTATTGTTTCCGCTCCTTCGCCATAGTGAAAGCCAATCTGCAGATTGTTGCCCTGGCTGGAGAAACGTTCCGCGAACAGCAGCAGCGCCTGCAGTCCCACCACCGTATCCTGGGAGGCCACAAAGCCGCCCTGCGCATTCCGCTGATCCATCAGCCAGTTGAGCACGGGCAGCGCATCGCCCACCAGATTGTTCTCCAGCAGTGCCAGCGCCGCATAGGCAGAGATCTCAATGTTGACACTTCGTGTGGCATTGTACCACGGCGATTGCTGCTCACCAGCGGGCGCTGTTTTGTTCCACCATTTGCGACCATCTGGGGAGGGGTGAGAAATTCAAGCAATTAATTGACTGTCCAGGCAGAGCTAGGATTGAGCTGCTAACCCCCATTAATGGCCATGGAGTCGAGTCGTTGGAGAAAGGCTGCCTTGGCATTGTGATTGGCACGCGAGAGCACGTAGGTGCCCAGGGCCATGGCATGCAGATTGCTGGAGCCATCGAGTCCTCGGGTGATGAAATCCAGCGCCTTGTTGATGTTGTTACGGTACTCGGGATAGGAGTCCTAGTGAGACAGTTCGATTAGAGTGCTCCCTGCCACAGATATCGCTGCCACTTACCACACTTTCCATCAGTGCGAGCGTCACGAAAGCCGTCAGACTGATGCCATCGTCGCCGAACTGTTCAAAGATATCTCCATGCTCCTCGAAGCCGCCATTGCCCGATTGCACACTCGCCAGGTAGGCGAGGGCGCGCTGCAGCACTTGGCTATCCACCTGGATGAATGCAGCAGCCTGACGCAGCGAACGCGCCACATAGGCCGTCAGCCAAGTGGAGCTGCGCTTGGCATCCAATCCAAAGGCACTGAAGGCACCATTGCCATGGCGATAGTAGAGCAGTCGCTGGTAGCCCAGAGCCAGATTATTGGTGGCACGCAGCTCCAGCTCGGGCGTGAGCTGACGAAGGCGCTGCAAAGGTAACTGGAAAGCTAGAAAGATCTGGAAATATTTAGATGAAATCTCTGCAGAACTTACACCCAAGTAACGCAGCACCATAAGGTTGGGCACAAAGTGCACCATTGTCTGCTCGCCACAGCCCGTTGGCAGGTGGATGAGCCGCTCCAGATTGCCCACAATGCTGCCAATCAGATCCCCCACGGCGGACACCTCGATGCTGGTGGACTCGGGAATGGCATTGCGCGGCACCACAATGCTGATGTTCCTCCTATTCGGCGCATTCGAGTTCAGTTCGAAGAGGAAGCCGCGATTGACACGCTCCGTGGCGCCGGGATGTTGCACCAGCAGCGTTTGCTCCACTGTGTCGCCTGCCTGGGCAGAAGCAGCCATGGCCTTCACCTGCAGCGCGCCAACACGTTTGGGCGTGACAATAAACGAAATGGAACGCGCGGACTTGGCCGGCACCTGCAGCGAGCGACGGCTGTACAGTTCCACCTCTGCAGGGGGAGCAGAAAAAAAAATACAAGTTTAAAGGAAGTTCATTTGCTGGACTTATAGGGGCTGCCCACTTGGCTTGCTGGTGGCCTTGGGATCCAGCTGGGGAAAGTCAAAGTCCAGGGCTGTGTTGTAGAAGGTGACATCCACACTCAGATCGCTCTCCCTGTTGTTGTGCACCACAAACGGAATGGCAATGAGTTCATCTGCAACAACAAAAGGGAACACACAAGTTCAAGTACACTCTATGGCTATAGATCCTCTGAGCTGAGCCTGATCCTACCTCTCCTTATGGCATAGGGCAGGTCCGTGGATATGTAGAACTCCTTGTAGGCCTCCAGCTTGCCATTGGGCGCGGACAGACCCAAACCATTGACCGGATCCAGAGCAAAGGCGGAGACAGCCCACGAGGTCATGTCGCTGGGAATGCGTCGATGGATGCTGTTGCGTCCATCACTGCTCGCCGAGATGTTCAGGAACAGCCAAGTGTCCGCCGGAGCACGCATCACATGCACCCGTGGATTGTGCCAGTACGGCTTGGGGGTGTACGAGAAGGCATAGCGTCCCTTGCCGGGCGGCAGAGTGTTCACCTCGATCTTGTGCGCCGGCCCAATGTCCGTTTTGCGCACTGTCGTCAGTTTATCCTCCTCGGGGCCCGTGGCGGCCGCCGCCTCACGGCCTGTGGCTGGTGTGCTCTCAGCCTCCTTTTCGATAAAGTAATCCGTGTTGGACATCGTCAGGACGCCAGACTCCTTGCCGGGCGAACCCACGGGTGTGTTGACGTCACTCAGCTCGTACGCCCGCAGGGCGTCCATGAGCCGCTGGTGGGTGAGATCATTGCTCGTGCCCAGAGCGGCGGCATTCTGATCGACCAACATGAGGCCCACATAGGAGTAGGGCTTGGTGCTGATGCCAATGTCAATGTCCTGCCCGGGCGGTGCTCTAATGGGTGCCTCAATTTGCACCTGCCAAGGGGAGTTTATAAATTAAATTAAACTCCGTCTGTGTGTGTGTTAAACTTACAGCATTCAGCAGATTCTCCTCGAATTGTATGACTTGTTCGTCGTAGACAAACTCCCCATTGACGACCATGTAGACGAGCATTTTGGCACGCGGCATCATGGCAAATGAGGCCAGAAATTTGATGGTATGGAAGGTGCTGTCGGGCACCTATTAAAATAAACTCTATGAGGTTTATATGTGCCAAAGAAAATACTCAACAGACTTACATCTACACTGCGTGAGAGTATAATGTCGCCACGGCCCACCAGTTGGTACATAAAATACTTCATGGGCTCATTGGAACGCACCACAACGGATATTTCCTGATTCACTGTGGGTCTGAGAATCATAAATAATCGATTATAAATTATATGGAAACCTTTTGTGGGGGGGGGGGCGGGCTGCTGCTTACTTATCATTCAACACCTTGGCCGTGATGTAGTGCCTGCTATGCAAATGCTTGCGCGGCACCTTGCCCACCTCGCTGATTACGCCCAAATAATCGACAATAATCGAATGGAACTCATCGCTGTCGCCCACAGGCACCGTGAACTTCATTTTGACTTCACCGCGTGCATCCAGGCTGTAGATGCTGCGATTGTACATCTCACTGCTGCCGTAGACATTCGTCAGATACGCCGTAATCTCGGGCTTAAAGTCCCTCAACGGGCTGCCATCATTACGGGCAATGCGAGCCTTTGAAGGGAATAAAAATAAAATAATTCTGTAAGCTAAAAAAAAATAGAATTTTCAATTAATTCTTACCGTGGCTTCAAAGGGCACGCCTGGTATATAGTAGCTGGGCAGCTGCAGTGTCTCCACGCGATAGTGATTCAAGTGCAAGGTGAGCACCGTCGAATAGTTTTGCACAGAGCCCGTGGACTTCTCCTCGACGAGCGCGTCCAGCAGATACTGCCGCTCATAGTCCTGCTTCAATCGCAGCTCCTGCTCAATGTCAAACTCAAAGTAGGCATTGCCATCGATGGGCACCACCTTGCGGGTGATCAAATCATTCACGAACGGCTGCAGTGAGCCAAAGAAGGTGGGATAAATGGAGAGTGTGGCCTCGCCCACAATTGGCTGGCCAAAGGCATAGCTGCAGGAAGCAAATAATTAAAAATAAGACCACACTTTAAACGGACTTGCTGCAACGACTTACTGCGCCTTCACTGTGGCTGCTATCTTGCCATCCTTATAGATGGCATTCCTGGGCGTCTCAATGTCCACCACAAACTTGGGCAATATGTGATCGAGTATCTCGAAGTGCTGGCTGTGTGTCTGCTCGGCCACTTCCACCAGGATGGACCACGTGCCGAAGCGCGGATAGTCGGACAGGCGCAGCTCATTCGAGTAAATGGCATTGGTTAGGCGCACATCCTTGTAGCTTCTGATGATGTTCTCGCCCGAGTCCCTGATGTCCACATGGACACGTCCATAGCCACGGGCGGGCTTCAGATTCGCATCGAGCACGAGCACGCGATAATGCACCAGATCGCCGGGCTTATAGATGCTCTTGTCCGTCTGCACCAGAACTGTGTGCTGTCGCGACTCAAAGTGCAGCTGCGTTTCGTTGGTGAATTGCACGCCGCCCAGACCCTCCGATGTCAGGCGATATCTATCCGGCTTGAGATCGGGTATCTGCAAGAAAATTGCCAAGCTGAGGCAAAGAACTTCCATGGGCTGGCGCAACTCACCTCAAAGTGCAGCAATTGTGTGGCATAGGGCCGCAGTTCCACCGTCTTGAAGTCCGTGTAGGTGCTGCCCAATATGCCCACCTTGAAACGCGCAGATTCCGCTGCCTTGTGCAGGCTGACAGCCACATGGAACTGGGAGTTGGGTCGCACTGTATTTGGGGCAATGATGGAGTACAGACTGTAACGGAAAGCGGTTGAGATTTAATGTTTATTTCTTTCTTTTTTTTTTTGTTTTTTTTTTTTTGTAAGTGAATTACACCTATGCTGCTGCTGAAATGCTATCTGAATCGGCATCTGAATCTGTTTTTCTCTCTCTTCATTCACGCGCTTAACGGAAGACAATACACCGAAAACCGAACCCAAACCCCAAACCCAAACCGAATCGTTGCCTCTGTTCCAGGTGTAATGTGCGCGGCGGCGGCGGCCTCCACCTCCACCTCCTCTGGGGTCACTCTTTGCGGCATCTGTCGGAAATGCTTGCGGAGTCGGGGGGGCTGTGGGCAGAGTTGGCTCGAGCTATAACTATTTTTTGTGGTTGTGGTTTTTCTTTCAACTGTTCCTCAGGCTTGGGGTATCCAAAAGACAATTTAAATACGATTTGCATGCCATATTGTTATGTTAAATATTTTGCCCAAGTTTCCCTTTCCGCAGAGCATCCAAGTGGCGGCTCTGTCTCTGTCTCTGAACTTTGTTTTTTGGTTTTCAATTTGAAAATCTCCTCTGCACTCATTGCTTGTTGGGGTTTTTATTTTTCTTTTTTTTTTGGTGTTGTCTTTACTTTGTTGCTTTGGCTGGGCTATTCATTTAGTTGGTAGCAAGATTGCGAAATTTATGGACTGCCTCCTAACTGTGCCACAAACTGTCCGTCGGTCCGTCTGGCCGTCTGGCCGTCTGGCCGTCTGGCCTGGCCTCTCTTTGGCGTAATTCACAGTTTTGAGCTTGTTCTAATTCCAATTGGTTTTTTCTTGTGGCCACCGCCTAACCTGTTCCCACCAAAAAATTTTCTTTTGTGTTTATGTCACGTTTGTTTGCCCCCCCCCCCCCCAAAAAAAAATAAAAATAAAAACAGGTTCGCTTAGGTGGTCGCTTGGCAGTTAAATCGGTTTTAGTAAGAGCAAGTAAATGGCACAAAAACCAAAGCCAAAAACCAAAAAAAAAAACAATTTCGCTTTTGCACAAATTGGCCGCAAAAAAAAGTTGCAGGCCTGAAATTTCAGCTGCAGTTTCAGCAGCACACAGTTCCACCTGATTGGTTTTTTTTGTTGCTATTGGAACTGCTACGATGATCTGCTACGATCTGCTACGATTCACCTACACGAATTCGACAGAAATCAAGCCTTGAATGAGTGTGGCGTGGCACCATATAAGGGAAACGAACGAACGGACTAACAGATCATGGACCCGCCGACAATGATCAGGAAAGTGCCAGTTGTAGAAGTAGACGCCTCCAGTCTTTCACTCTGGCCATCAATCAGAATTACACAGTGGAGTATAGATAGATACTCGTATTGGTCAGTCATTCAGTCAGTCACTGAGTGTTCAAGGTGAGTGCCATCGGAAATAAGTACAGACATAAGTAGCAAGCCGCGTTTATGTGTCACCTTAGCAGCAGCAACAGCAGCAGCAGCAGCAGAACTTGTAGCAGCAGCTTCGGGCCACAGGGTGACTCAAGATGTATCACTTTTGGCTCCTGTTTTGCTCTGGCACTGGCACTGGCACCACATTGCATCACCCTAACACGAATTGGGATGCTGTATGGAATCTGTGTGTGTGTAGGCGACAGCAGCACATCACCTCCAAAAAAAACTGCGTTGGCTTCAGGTTATTTCATATATATATTAACTGCCATAATAAACCCCATGGTTAATTCCCTGATTACATGTTGTTAATAATACATCGTCTTCTTCACACACACACACACAGTTGATTATGTTGCTGAGGATGATGGTTTGATGGTTTCGCACGCTTGTTGCCTAAGTCTTTCGTTTTTTTTGTGAATTTGTTTTAGGGATTGTCTGGAAGAGTGTGTAGAGTGTGCAGAGAGTGATGTCATATCTGATTCCCATGGCTCATGCTCATTTTCATACAGTTTGTCACTCTGTTTTGTGTCAGGTACGAAGTAGTGCGGAATACTAACCCCTGAGCAGCTGTTTGAGTGAGTAAACAAGCTGCTGTGACGATGACGATCATCACTGCTGCTGACATTTCCTCTATGCCTCTATGCCGCCGCATTCTGTGGGGTTGTTCGGGTTGTATTTCCCTGATATATTGTTTCGTATTGTATTGGCAAATTAAGTGTAAACACGTTTTCTCGATTGATGCCGAATTGTGTATTGGCATCACATATTATACACAGTCGAAACTCTATCGTTTTGGTGTGCCACTCTCCGTGTGGGCAGAGTGTGCGCTCTGTCTCCCTCTCTCTCTCTCTCTCTCGCTCTCTATAGGCGATTGCAGCAGCACCAGAAGAGCACCAGAGATTGCCAAAGACGAGCCGCGCGTTTTTGGAGCGACTTTGATAGGCGGTTCGTTCGTTTGTTGTTGTTTCTCGCGTTTTTTCTTTCACTTTCGATTCGTTTTGGGAGCGTGCGCCCGTTCACCTGTTGCCCGCTTGAAAGCTCGTTGCCAACTGATTTTTAGTCAGGCCCGCGATTTGCACACAAGTTGAGCCTGCGCGCTCTAAGTGGGCGATTGAGCTTTGTGTCGTGCTTGCAAGTTTGCTATAGAGAGGGTTCTAGTGCCGACTAAGTGGCGATAAAAACCCAAAAGCTCTAGTAGAGACTTATTTTGACAATGTGCCGTGGCTTAAATTTCATTTAAAATCTGTAAGTACCATTAAATCTTAAATAATATTAAAGAAAAGATTAAGGAACACTAGTTCCATGGGTACCTATATTGTTAATTTTACTCGATATTTTCACTGAAAGTTCTCTCTCTTTATAGCGAGAGACTTTTAATACTGTCATAAATTTAGCGCTTGAAATTGTCTAATAATATTTTTCGGGGTATCTCCCCTTTATAATTCGTCTTAAATTGCTTACATAATATTTCAGCACAAAAGTGCATTCATTTCTTTAGAAAGGTTAATGCTCTCCAGCAGCACATCTGGATTCCTGGAAAAGAAATTATATAAAAGAAATGAGTAAAAAAAAGTAAAGAAAAGCTGAATATAGGCCAGACATGCGATTTCATTGTTCAATCAATTGTTATTATTTTTAGTTTTATTTTGATATTTACGTATTGTGCAATATTTGTCATAATTAATTTTATATGCACAGCCTGGGGCTTATCCCGTGAATTCTCTCATTAGAGCGCTTCTGAGTATTGATAAGACCACTCGGTTACTGTTAAGACAAACATCTCGCTGATCTCTGACATCTCACTCTCCTGCCTTCACCGTTAGTTCAATCACAACAAACAAATACAGAGATTTATCATCATTGACGTAGTAGAGAGCATCGGCATCACCCACCCGATCGTGCAAATCTAATAGAGCGCGACAAAAATTCCCCGAAAAACAAACGAAAATAGAGAGACAAGACGGCAACGAATGGGAGAGAGATCGGGAGCCGATCACATTGGAAATCGTATTTAAGCCGCGTCTCATTTCAAGACGAGCTCATTTTGGATCGTGCCGGCCCATCGTGTTCGTCTCTCTCGAGGTCAGTACTTGGTCGTCGTTCGCGTGTGTGTGTGAGAGAGTGAGGGAGAGCGAAAAAAACATTGCAATAAACCTTCGCGTGAAACAAAAAACAACATACATAAATAATACAAAAATTCATTTTACAGTTTGGTGTCGTGATCCGTTCCCAAAATGTTGAGGATACTCCTCAGTGTGTTTGTCTTGCAATTCGCATTGCTAATCAATGCCACCGGGTGAGTTCTGTTATAAACTGGCACATACATGTGTATATATGTACATGTATATATGTATATATATTTTCCAATCGTTTGCTTATCAGTACCAACTAATGAGGGCTACTGTCAGGTGCCATCTGAACCAATAGATTGGTATTCAAAATATAAATATAAATAAAATATATGCACTCGATGGCATGCACCCAGCGCGCGTCTGGCCACGTCCACTAGCCCCAAGATTATGTTTAAATGTCACTCTTTGGGTTCCCTTCAAACCGGTTAAGTAAAAGCGCCTTGCAGTTCGTAGTAGATCTTTCTTTTTTCTCTTTGGGCGCGGTGATTATCGGAACACGCGTCTGCCCAGGGGGTGGGGGAAGCACCGCAGGGAAAAACACACAGAACCTTTTTGTTTAAAATATACAAATCTTTGGAGTGTGGGAGCCGCTTGATTGTGGGGCGTGGTCGTTGGGTGTCATAAAAGTTTAATGTTCATATAAATAAATGCCCTGTAGCCCCCAGAGTGCTGTGTTGTATAGTGAATGAGAAGGAACGTGCGAGTCGCTTCTGGGGACGCGACTCGTACTCAGTCAGTATACACATTTTTGAGCATTTAATTTTTGAGAATTTTAAAAATAAAACAAAAAAAATTGTACATATTACATTTTTTTGCTACATCTGTTATCCACATCTACATCTACAATGCATTTTCTACATCTAACATGTAGATTATTGTATGTACCATTTAGATTCTTCATCTCCTCCGCTAGAGGAGGCTTTATCGACTCGGCTATTGATGCTGATCAAGAATATATGTATGTATATACTTTATGGGGTCGGAAACGTTTCCTTCACTTCTACCACAATTCTAATGTACCCCTCAATTATTTTTTGAGTACGGGTACCTTACAGCGGATAGTTCCCAAGTGTTAAGACCCCAAAGGTCTTTTGTTCGATAGCTATCAGTCGGGCAGGAAAAAAATCACCCATAAATCTACACACCTTCGCACTTATAATTAAGAGGAATTTGCATAGTTGCTACACTCCAGAGTACCATTCTATTATTCGTTTTGCATTATCACCATTAAGCAGAATCATCACTCAGAGCGAATCAGAATCATTAATTAGCAGAAATAAACATGGAATTGCAATTAAAAACAAATTGTAATCCGGCTCCGATTATTCCATTTGCCAACAATCAGTTTCTTTTATTTGTAATTAAACAAAACTTTTGTGTGTGTTTTTTTTGTGCAGCCTCTATTCGGTGGTGGGGCCTGGCACCATTCGCTCCAACTTCAAGTACAATGTGGCCGTGTCCGTGCACAAGGCGGACGGGCCCAGCCAGCTGAGAATCAGCCTCAATGGCCCCTCGTACAACGAGACAAAGGAGATCGAGGTGCTGCCCATGTCCACGCAAAATGTGGAGTTCGATGTGCCCAAGCTGGCCGCGGGCGATTACAATCTGACGGCTGTCGGTGTGTCGGGCATCGTCTTCGAGAACTCCACCAAGCTGAACCGGGCCGACGATAAGCCCTCGACCTTCATACAAACTGATAAGGCCACCTACAAGCCCGCCGATCTGGTGCAGTTCCGCGTACTCATCCTCGACGAGCAGACCAGACCCGCCAAGCTCGACAAACCCGTCACGATTGCCATCACTGATGGCGCCCAGAATCGCATCAAGCAGCTCACCGACATCAAGCTGACGAAGGGCGTGTACGCCGGGGAGCTGCAGCTGTCCGAGCAGCCAGTGCTGGGCACCTGGCAGATCGCAGTGAGTGTCGATGGCGATGGCACGGAGACCAAGACATTCGAGGTGGACAAGTATGTGCTGCCCAAGTTCGAGGTGATCATCGAATCGCCGAAAGATGTGGCTGTGCAGGAAAAAGTAATAAAGGCGACCATTCGGGCCAAGTATACGTACGGCAAGCCGGTCAAGGGCAAGGCCACCGTCTCCATTGAGCCCAATTATGCGCACTATCTTAACCGGGATGTGGGCAGACAGGAGAAGACAATCGATGTCGATGGCAAGGGCCATGTGGAGTTCAGCATCGAGGGCACACAATACCGCGGCGGCTACGCGCCACCGCTGAAAATCCTGGCCATTGTCACCGAGGAGCTGACGGGCAACCGGCAAAATGCCACAACGATTGTCAATCTGCACAGTCAACGCTACAGCATCCAGGGCGTCGACACGCCGCCCTCGTATCAGCCGGGCAAGGCCTTTGCCTTTCAGGTTGTGGTCAAGAATGTGGATGGCTCGCCGGTGCGCGATGCCGAGCAGAAGGTCAAGGTGAGCTTTGTGAGCGGACATCGATTCTCCGCCGGCGGCACTCAGCGGGAGTTCAATTTTGAGTCCACCCTCAACGAGCATGGCATGGCCACGTTCAACGTGACGCTGCCCGAACTGGAAATGAGCTATGTGAGCATCAATGCCGTCTTCGGGGACTCCTCGTCCTTTGTGGGCAGCATCTCCAAGTTCCAGCCGGCGCTCGACAGCAGCGAACCACTCAAAATTGAGCTGAAGAACAAGCAGTAAGTTTTACATGCACACCACCAACAAATTCCCAGCTAACTTATGGATTTTCGATTTACTTGCAGACCAAAACTGGGCGAAAGTGTGGCCTTTGATGTCAAGTCGAACAGCGATATACCCTACTTTGTGTACACGATTGTCGCCCGCGGCAACATCGTGGACACGGACTACGTGGATGTGCCCAAGGGCCGCAGGACACACACGGTGAAATTTACGCCCAGCTTTGCGATGGTGCCTCGGGCCATCATCTATGTGCATTACATCTACGACAACGAGCTTCGCTTCGAGGAGAAACAAATCGACTTTGAGAAGGATTTCAGCAATTCGGTAAGCCTTCAGTATTCCCGCATTTTAAGCGCAGTTTATTAGCCAATTTTCTTGAATAGATTGAAATATCTGCGCCTGTGGATGCCAAGCCCGGCGAAGAGGTTCAGCTGCGCGTGAAGACCGATGCCGATTCTTTTGTGGGTCTGCTCGGCGTGGATCAGAGTGTGCTGCTGCTCAAGTCCGGCAATGATTTGAGCCGCGATGAGATCTTCAACAGCCTCAGCAAGTACCAAACAGCGACGCCCTGGCAGCGCGGCTATGGCCGATATCCGGGCGAGACCTCGGGACTGGTGACCCTCACCAATGCCAACTATCCCTACAATACGGGTAAGACTTGGGCGGAAGTATGCAGCAGTTGCTTGAAAGTATTTGGAATATATATACCAAAGTTCAAACATTTTGGGGGATAGCTTAAATATTGACAAAATAGTTTTTGGTTGCATTGGACAAGAGGAGTACTCAAGCCGCCGCATTTCCATCAGATTATCCCGACTATGTAAACGATCAGCCGGAAGCAGACTTTCAGCCCGTTGCTGCCATAGCTGGCCAACAGCCATTGGGCTTTGGTGGTGCCATTTACAATCGCCAGCCAGAGATTGCGGGCGAGCCAGAACCCCTGCCAATACGTCAGAATTTTGCCGAGATCTGGATATGGCAAAGCTGGAGGTGGGTGCCACGCCCTACCTACACACACACACACACACGCACACGTTAATGCACCCTTAATGCACAGCGCTCTATGCTTTCTAAACACAAATCTAAGGCTTTAACTGAGGCTTTAACTGAGGCTTTAACTGAGGCTTTATCTGAGGCTTTAACTAGGCTTTATCTTAAGGCAACAGGCAGGCTCTCCTCTCTCCAAATGCCACATGCACCAATAATACTAATACCTGAATTTGTGGCCTGTGCAGAGGTGCAGACCTCGTGGACGTATAAAGACAGTTCCCGGGAGCATTGGAATTGCCCTGCAATTAATCGCAAATGTCTATCGCATACCCAAACAATTTTAGCGCCCGTCTCAGTTGAGCATAGTGATTCATATATGACGGACAATATCGAGTATGATGTTGAGGAACAAGTAGACGACGATATTGATACCGTTGATGGGCCAACTGAAGCGAAGAAGCTGCCCGACCAAGTGCGCAAAAACTTTGCCGATCTCTGGATATGGCAAACGCAAACGACTGGCAACGGGAGGTGGGTCCTACGGTTTATCTAAATGCTGCATGAAAAAACCCCAACCCCCCTCCTCCTTCGAATGCACGCCAGTCCATCAGCTTCTCTATACCAAAAAAAAAAACAAAAATTAGATTTAAATATAACTCCAAACTAGTTTTAGCTTAGGCTTTAACCTAATACTAATGTTATATACATATATATATATCCCCGATGCAGATGATATTATAGTACCTTTCTTTGTACTTAATTCGCCCATGCCGATTGCATTTTCGATTGCGGCGGCACCTGGACCTGGACTAGCCGGCCCTCCTGGTGCAGCTGCAGCGCCAGTCAGTCCACCGATCCGTAAAGAGTTTCCGGAGAATTGGATATTTTACAATGCCGAAAAGTAACCAACAAAAAAAAAAAATGAATCAATTTAATTGAATTGAATTGAATACCCTTTCTACCTCTCCCAACCCCAACCCACCACCAACCCCGTTGTGCGCTTTTTGTGTGTGTCTTTTTGGGGCATCAATAGGTTTAATACACTCTCTCTTTTAATTGCTTTAATTTCTTACCTCTTTCAATACTTAACTTTACTTTAACAAACTTTCTCGCTGGAACTGTTGTGCCTGGTTGTGCCTGGTTGATCCACTTTTGGTTTTCAAAACGAATTTCTATGCCTATTAGGAAGACGCTGGTTCCCAGGAATTCTAAGGCGGCGCTTTCCAGCACCACAATTTGGTTTAATGAATATAAATCTCATGGCAATGAGGCCATCAGTAGCAGCAGCGGGTTCAAGGCCATTGCCGCCAGTCCCAGTGCCCCAAATACGCAAAGAGTTTCCCGAAAACTGGATATTTTACAATGCCCAAAAGTATGAGCATTTCAGCATTGTTTCTTTCTGTGTGTGTGTGCTTGACTAACAAAATTAAATTAATTGTAAAAAAATATGCAAATCCATAAATCACCCAAATATGTATATCGCGGCAGTTGGCAAATGGGAAACTCCTCAACGTGGATGCCTCTAAGAATTCAATTAATATCTAATTCCCAGATGGCTGGCTGCCTTATTACTTAAGATCTGCGGTAATTGAAGATCGTGCTGTGTATGCAGCACCCCAAGCCCGCTTTGCTGCTTCAGTACTAAGATCTGATTTATATGCACCAGCAGCAGCAGCAGCCACCAGCACGCCAAGAGTTCCCGGAGACTTGGATGTTCCTCAATAGACACGAGTAAATTCTGTGCACTCCATGTTCGTGTTTTGTTGACTGTATGTGGCGGGGGGGTGGGACTCATACTCAGCGCATAATAATTGGCACTCAAATGAATATTTCAAGCATTAAATTGGCCCAAACAAATACATCCAGCGCGGCAGGTTCGATAGGACATACCACAAAATAGTTATAGCTTCAAGCTCACCGCGAATGCCGCCATAAACATAATTAATGTCTTATTCCTAGATCGCTGGGTTGATTACTCAATGTCTGAAGAACTTGATGATATTGTTATGCATTCAATGGCTGAACCCACTTGGGAAGCCAGGTCTATATTTTACGCAAGCCCAGCACCAGCAGCAGCAGCAGCATCAGCCCCACCAGCACCCCCGATACGCAAAGAGTTTCCGGAGACTTGGATGTTCCTCAATAGACACGAGTAAATGCCATGCACTCCATGTTCGTGTTTTGTTGACTGTACTCAGAGCATTCAAATGAATATTCCTTAAAGAACCAAAAGAACCAAAAGAACATTCCAGCGCAGCTTAACTGCAGTTCCATTTCCACTAACATATTTCCAGCTTATTTTTCCGTGCATGTTTTGGTCGCTAACTTCAACCTTCCACCTTCCACCTTCATCTAAGCCATTATGTGAATCGTTGCGTACTGTTGCCTATGTTTATGCGGTGTTTCCAGGCCTCGTAAGGAACATGAAAATTAATGCATAAATCTTTGATAGTACGGATGCCGATGGCTTCACGCTGGCCAAGAAGATACCAGATACGATTACCTCTTGGGTGGTGACGGGCTTCTCGCTGAACCCCAGCACGGGCATTGCCCTGACCAAGAGACCCAGCAAAATCCGCGTGTTCCAGCCGTTCTTTGTGTCCACCAATTTGCCGTATTCCGTGAAGCGGGGTAAGTGATCGAACGCTCCCAAAAGAGTCTTCCACTCATGCTCGTCTCGTTATCCCCCACGCCCAAGGTGAGGTCATAGCCATACCCGTGATCGTATTCAACTACTTGGACAAGACGCTCGACGCAGAGGTAGCCATGGACAATGCGGACAAGGAGTACGAGTTCACGGAGGCCACCAACGAGGTGCAGGAGCTGGCCAGCGATGAGGTGCGCCGCGTGAAACGCGTCACGATACCCGCCAACAGCGGCCGCAGCGTCTCGTTTATGATTCGCCCCAAGCGTGTGGGCGCCACCACACTGAAGATAAGCGCCACCTCGCCGATTGCCGGCGACACCATCCACCAGAAGCTGAAGGTGGAGCCCGAGGGCGTGACACAGTTCGTGAATCGAGCGCTCTTCATCAACCTGAAGGATCAGGCCGAGCTGTCGGAGGCACTCGCAGTGCAAATACCCGCGGAGGCGGTGCCCGACTCGGAGTTCATTGAATTCTCAGTGGTGGGGGATCTGCTGGGTCCCACGCTCCAGAATCTGGACAATCTGGTGCGAATGCCGTACGGCTGCGGCGAGCAGAATATGGTGAACTTTGTGCCCAACATTCTGGTGCTGACGTACCTGGAGGTGACCAGCCGCCCGATGGCCGGCATTGAGGCCAAGGCCAAGAAGTTCCTCGAGATTGGCTACCAGCGGGAGCTCACCTACAAGCACGACGATGGCTCGTACAGTGCCTTCGGCAAGTCCGATCCGTCCGGCAGCACCTGGCTCACCGCCTACGTGATGCGCTCCTTCCACCAGGCGGCCAAGTACACCCAAGTGGATCCCAAGGTGCTGACCGCCGGCCTCGACTTTCTCGCGTCCAAGCAGCGGGAGACGGGCGAGTTTCCCGAGCTGGGCAAACTCTTCGACAGCGCCAATCAGAATGAGTTGGCGCTCACCGCCTTCGTGCTGTTGGCCTTCTTCGAGAACCAGGTGAGCAGCGTCGATTGCCACCAAGATGGCCGTGTGCCATGCGACTCTTACCTTGGATTTCATTGCAGGAACTCATCCCCAAGTACCAGAGTGCCGTGGACAAGGGTGTGCGCTATGTGGCCGAGCAGGTGGACCAGACGGAGGATCAGTATGCGCTGGCCATTGCCGCGGTGGCGCTGCAGCTGGCCCAGCATCCGCAGGCCGAGAAGGTGCTGGCCAAGCTGGAGGGCGAGGCCCATCAGGAGAACGATCGCAAGTGGTGGTCCAAGGCAGCGGAACAGCCAACACCCAGCACCGTCTGGCGTCCGCGCAGCAACGATGTGGAGCTCACCGCGTACGTGCTGATCGCCCTGCTCGAGCAGAGTCCCGCCGAGACGAGCCTGCCGATTGTCAAGTGGCTGATTGGGCAGCGCAACAGCAACGGCGGCTTCGCCTCCACCCAGGACACGGTCGTCGGCCTGCAGGCACTCACCAAGTTCGCCCAGAAGACCGGCTCCGGCACCGGCACCATGGCCATTGACTTTGTGCCCTCAAACGGCACCAGGTCCACCATTAAGGTGCAACCCGCCAATGCGCTGGTTCTGCAGACGCACGTGTTGCCGCGGAGCACCCGCCAGGTGGAATTCACGGCCCGGGGCACCGGCTCGGCGATGGTGCAGCTCTCGTATCGCTACAATCTGGCCGAGAAGGACAAGCGGCCGAGCTTCAAGGTGACGCCCACCGTGAAGGACAGCGCCTCCAATCGCCTGCTCGTGCTGGACATTTGCGCCGAGTACGTGCCGCTCGAGGCTGGCGACCAGGACAAGGACTCGAACATGGCCGTCATGGAGATCGCACTGCCCTCCGGCTATGTGGGCGATGCCGACAGTCTGGGCAGAATCGAGTCCGTGGACCGGGTGAAGCGCGTGGAGACCAAGAACTCCGACTCGACGGTTATCGTGTACTTTGACAGCCTGACGCCGGGCGATGTGAAGTGCCTGCCCGTGGAGGCGACCAAGGCGCATGCGGTGGCCAAGCAGAAGCCCGCCGCCGTTTCCCTGTACGACTACTACGACACGGAGCGCCGTGCCACCGAATACTACCAGGTGAAGTCCTCCCTCTGCGACATATGCGAGGGCACCGACTGCGGCACTGGCTGCAACAAGTAGACGTAAAATACATCCAATAAATACATTTTGTGAAACTTTATTTGAATTGTTTTGGACTGGTTTTTATTTCCTCAAGTGTTGGGCGATTTGTTGGCACGCTCTGCATCTATAAGTCTGTGGGGGCAGGCAATGTATATAATTAATTTATCCTGGGGCTTGGGTGACTGCAACTTACAGCTGCACATCGGGCACAATCAATCGCACATCAAACGTATCCTGCGTTATTGTGTGGTGGAATTCGTCCAGCACCCTGGGATTCACCATTATGTCCACCTCGTTCTTGCCCATGCGCCACAAATTGTACTTGAGGGAACACACACGAAATAATACCCAAGTAAATCCCACGAATAATGGCAAGAGTAAATCACTTACCATCTCGGGATCAGCCAGCAGAAATTCGATCACTTGAAAGTGACTTGCCGTGTGTATGCCCACCCGGTACACCTTGTAATTTGCATAGGAAACTATTGGCGGCTTGTCGGTTTGCTCTTCCACTGGGACTGTCGCTGGGAAGCCCCTGGCATCAACGACACCAACCATAAGCAATGCAATCACGAGCAGCATTCTGTGCGAACTGGCGCTAAGTGGGGCTCAATGGGAATGCTTTATAGTGGTGCGAGTATTCCACCCCCATCAACGCCCGCCAGCAGATGGCAGATGGCAGCTGTTGCTTTGTCTCTTGATTAAAAGGTTAGTTTAGCTGGAAAGAAAGTGTTTCGGCATATGAATTCCGGGTGTTACGTTATCCATACCCATAGCCAGCGGACTACTACTATACATATGTATATCAAATGTTGTTGCAGCGCTGCGCAAACACAGTGTAAACTATCGCCAGAGAGAGGGAGAGAGCGAGAGAGTATCGGTTAAAAAGCAATGATTAATTAAATATTTATTTACTTCTTAAATTATATTCAATACCAAAATATTGCATTAGAAAAATTAAAAAATAATTTCATTAATTTTAATTTGATTTAACAATTTATTTCAATTTATTAAGTGTAAACTATCGTCAGAGAGCGAGAAAGAGCGAGAGAATATAGGTGAAAGAGCGTTGATAAATTAATAATAATATTTATTTATTTTTAAATATTAAATATTTATTTACCTCTTAGCAGCGAATATTTATCAAGACCAAAATATTGCATCAGAAAAATTAAAAAATAGAAAAGTTAATTTCATTAATTTTAATTTAATTAAACAATTTTTTTAAATTTATTAAGTGTAAACTATCTTCAGAGAGAGAGAGAGTATAGGTGAAAAAGCCTTGATAAATTAAATGTTTGTTAATTTATTTATTAAATATCAAATATTTATTTACTTCTTAGCAGCGAAGATATTCAAGACCAAAATATTGCATCAGAAAAATTAAAAAATAGTTAATTTCATTAATTTTAATTTAATTTACTATATTTAAGTGTAAACTATCTTCAGAGAGAGAGAGTATAGGTGAAAAAGCGTTGATAAATTAAATATTTATTTACTTCTTAGCAGCGAAGATATATTGTTCAAGACCAAAATATTGGATCAAAAAAATTTAAAAAATTAAAAAATTAAATAATAAAAAAATAATAATAAAACAAAAATGTAAATCAAAATTTGTAATTTAATAAATTTAAAAAAAATTCTTAAATTAAAATTAATAATAATTTCAAAAAATCGAAAATCAAAATCAAATTAAAAAAATCAAAAAAAATTTTGATTTAAATTTTTTTCGATTCTTCTTTTGGACTCGGCAGCCGCTGCACCCCCACCTCCGCCAGCATTGGGGCCGAGGCCAATCAAAATTTTGACTTACATTCGGTGGAAAATGAAGTAGCTTCGGCGGAACGCTGCAGCGATCGATTTGCCCTGGTCGAAGCGCGGGACTAGTCCGACTATGTTCTCGGGATAAAGAACAAAGGCAGAGAGCACACGCCTGGAGGCTTTGCCAGTTTGATGTGAAAGTTGAAGTAGTTTCAAGTAGAAAGAATTGGTTTAAAAGATGCAGATGTCGCTGCTGCTGGTTCCTCCATGGACTGGGCCTATAGCGAGAAGAACATTCAGTTGGCTTGCCCCACGGAATGCCGCGACTCGTGCTGCCCGCGGCACACTTTCTGCCAAACTGTGAGGATCTGCTGGCCGCTGGCATGGTCGCTCTGGTCGATAAGGCACACGCCCGCCTCGGGCTATATCCAAGAGCAAAACGATTCACACTTTAATTGGGAAAGAAATACCGCAACAATATTGCCCAGTAAGCTCTTGAGTTTGCCTCTATCTTTACAGCCCCAATTGAGACTGTGGCACAGGCCAGCGCGATAAAACCAGCCACTGGCTGCCTGAAGGCAATTAGTCGCTTAGTTTAGGCCAAGCACGGAACATGGGCGACACCTTCACCTGTCTCTTGGCGCTGGCATTGCTGCACGTTGCTCTGGGGGCAGCTGTGGGTCAGACAGACGGCCGGATACGCTACGACAATTACGCGGTCTATAAGGTCAAGTACGAGAGTCTCGGCCAACGCAATCTGCTGCGACAGCTGGCCGAGGATCGCGAGAATGTGAGTGCATTTGTGTGCCATAATTCTGTGAGTTTGCGCTTTAAGTTTGTGCTCAGTTTAGGCTTTGGCACGAGGCCAAGGATGAGCTGCATGTGATGGTCAGTCCCAGTGGCCTGGCCGAGTTCCAGGCGGAAGTGCTGCAGGCCAATGCCACTGCCAAGATCTTCATACCCAATGTACAGGAGTAGGTGGCAAGGCCCATTGAGTGTTGAATTTATTTAACCCTCTGCTCTGGCCACATTTTTCCACAGACTAATCGACATTGAGACGACGGAAAACGCGCGAGCCACGAGCGAAGATTTTGGCTGGAAAAAGTACAATTCATTGGCGGAAATCGAGGCCTGGCTGGACGACATACTGGCCAGATATCCGGTCATAACAGAGGGCTTTGTCCTGGGCCAGTCCTACGAGAATCGCACCATACGTGGCCTCAAAATCTCCTACAAGTCGGGCAATCCGGGTGTCTTCATCGAGTCGAATATCCATGCCCGCGAATGGATTACTTCGGCGACGGCCACGTGGCTGATCCATCAGTTTCTCACCTCCGAGGATCCGCTGGTGCGGACGCTGGCCGAGAGCCACGACTGGTACATTGTGCCCGTGCTGAATGTGGATGGCTTTGTGTACACCCATGAAAAGGTATTGGATTGCTATACCCTTTAGCTCCTCATTAATCGATTTCAAACTGGCAGGATCGCATGTGGCGCAAGACGCGTCAGCCCTCGGCCATTTCCAGCTGCATTGGCGTTGATCCCAATCGCAACTACGACTCACATTGGATGGAGAACGATGGCGCCTCCTCGAATCCCTGTGCCGAGAACTATGGCGGACCGCGCGCCTTCTCCGAGCCAGAGATTCAGGCCATGTCCGACTTTGTGGGCAGCATCAAGACCAAACTGAATGTCATGCTGGCCTTTCACTCCTACAGCCAGCTGCTGCTGTCGCCCTACGGCCACACGGACGAGGAGTTTCCCGATAACTACGATGATCTAATGGAGGTGGCCAAGGCCTATGGCGATGCGGTGGAGGCGTTTCCCTATGGCACGGTCTACAGATACGGCTCGGCAGCGGGAATACTTTGTGAGTGCTGAGAGAGAGAGAGACTTGTGTCTTTAATGGTTGGTTTTCATCCACATAGATACCGCTTCGGGTGCCACCAACGATTGGGCCTACAACGAGCAGGGCATTGAGATATCCTACACGATTGAGTTCCGTGACACGGGCCGCTACGGCTTCGTCCTGCCGCCGGTGCACATTGTGCCCAATGCCGAGGAGACGCTGATTGGCCTTATCGCCCTGCTAGATAAGTGCAAATCGTTGGGTTATCTCAACCTCAAGTATTAATGGTGTGTAATCCCCCAGCAGCAGCAATAATAATAAAAGCATTAAGATTCGATCACGATCACGATTGCGATTACGATTACGTTTTGTCGGGGTGGCTTATAGTTTTCCTTTGGGCTATTGGGCTGCGTGGACACTCAGTTAAGCTTCGATATGCGTCTGCTTTGGTTGTGTGCCGCCGCCGCCGCGCTGCTGCTGGTGCTGGCCAGTGCCGGAACGCTCAAGGACAGCCCCACGAAAGAGCGTTACGACCACTACGAAGTGTACAGGCTGACGCTGAGGAACAGGCTGCAATTGGATGTGATTGAGCGGCTTGCAGAGCTGTCCAATAAGGTGCCGTTTGCCGTTTAATTACCTCAGTACAGTGGAGACTTTTCGCCTTTTTTGTTTTTGTAGTACAACATTTGGAAGGACTATGACGCGCATAGCCAGGAGCTGCACATAATGGTGAGTCCCGAGGACCTGCAGCACTTTCAGCAGCTGTTGCGCGTGCATGGCATCGGCAGTGAGCAGATGGTGGCGAATGTTCAAGCGTAAGTGATCGATAGGCCATCCAGTTATGCGTTTATGAGGCCATAAAGGCCAATTACGATGCCCCATTTAGGCTTATCGATGAGGAGCAAGTCACTGCTGCCGCCGATACCGCCGCTAGTGATGGCACCTTTTTGGCTGGACTAAGTACTACGAACTGGCGGAGATCGAGGCCTGGCTGGACAGCGTGCTGGCTGCCTATCCCAACGTCACCGAGCAGTTCATTGTGGGCCAGTCGTACGAGAATCGCACCATACGCGGCATCAAGATCTCCCACCAGGCGGGCAATCCGGGCATCTTCATCGAGTCGAATATCCATGCCCGCGAGTGGATTACTTCGGCCAGTGCCACGTGGTTCATTAATCAGCTGCTGACGTCCGAGGAGCCGGCCGTGCGCAATCTGGCCGAGAGCTACGACTGGCACATTGTGCCCGTGTTCAATGTGGATGGCTTTGAGTACTCACACACAAAGGTACATCCGCATTTCCGCTCAGGCTTTCAGGCCACTGCTAACCCTTTTTTGTTTGTTTGTATCTGCTGCAGAATCGCATGTGGCGCAAGACACGTCAGCCGCATGCCACAAGCGAGTGCATTGGCGCCGATGCCAATCGCAACTTTGACTCCCACTGGATGGTGAACAATGGCGCCTCTGCGAATCCCTGCAGCGAAACCTTTGCCGGCGATGTGCCCGGCTCGGAGCCGGAGGCCAGGGCACTGGCCGAGTACCTCAGCAGCATCCAGGACCAGTTCAGCGTGTACATATCCTTCCACTCGTACGGGCAGTATCTGCTGTCGCCCTTTGGCCACACGGCAGCGGAGTTTCCCGACAACTACGACGATCTGCTGCAGATTGGCGCGGCCTTTGCCACAGCCATCGAGGAGCTGCCCTACGGCACTGTCTACACCTATGGCTCCACGGCGGATGTGCTCTGTGGGTTGCTGCAGCAGCTTCCATTCCCCCGTGCCACAAGCTAATTGATTGACTTTTTTCTTTTGCAGATGTGGCCACGGGCACCTCCGTTGACTGGGTGTTCAATGAGCTGCAGAAGAAGATTGGCTACACCATCGAGTACCGCGACAAGGGACGCTACGGCTTCATTCTGCCGCCCGTGCAGATTCTGCCCAACTGCCAGGAGCTGATGGCCGGCATGCTGGCGCTGATCGACAAGACCAAGCAGCTGGGCTACATATAGTGCAGAGTTTACTTTTGTTGGTATATGTAATATTCTGAGTAATAATTAAGACGGTTTGTGTAATACTTTTAAATGTTTCTTTAATGTTCTTTTCGTATATATAGCCGCGGCTTGCATGCGCACAGTTCAGAGTCAGAGATAGAAGAGAGAGATCAAACTTAAGAGATGGCCTATCGTCAATTCCAACTATCGATACATCATCAATTCCAACTATCGATACATCATCGATAAGATCTTTGTCTCTTTTGTATGTAACACACTGGTTACTTCAACACACCTCCTCAAAAGATACATAGATCTAATAGTTATAACAATGAAGAATATAACTTATATATATAGCAGCAAGCCGAGCATTCTGGGAGTTACAAACTACAGTCCAACATTTGTTGCAAAGGGTTGGGGAAAACCCAGAAAAACCCAACCAGACCATATTACTTAAATATTATAAATTTACTAATTATACATTAATTCATGTTTACAAAATCAAAAAAAAAAAAAAATTATACTATTCATTAGTATGTTGAGATCAAAAAGTAGTTTAAACAAGCTTCATTAGTTCATGAGTCCCAGTTGTTCTCGCAGGTAGACGAATCGAGGTCCAGGCAATGGCTTCGTCAAAATATCCGCCAGTTGTTTAACTGTGGAAATATACTTAATACAAATTAGTTTTTGTTCAATTTGCTCTCTTGAGAAGTGATATTTAATATCAATATGTTTTGTTCTTTTGTGGCATGTGGGATTATTAGCAATGCTTATACAACCTTGGTTGTCTTCAAAAACATTTATAGGTCCATTAAATTCTAATGCAACACTTTTAGCTAAAGACTTTAACCACATAGCTTCTCTCGTAGCCTCAAATAATGCCATATACTCAGCCTCAGTAGATGAGGCTGCAACTGAATTTTGCTTTCTTGTATTCCAGCAAATAAGGGATGAACCAAACATTTTAAATAAATAACCCGTTGTACTCTTTCTATCATTTTCATTTCCAGCCCAGTCAGAATCAACGTATCCAGCAAAAATATTTTCATGATTTATACTTTTTACAAAAGTTAGCTTAAGATTGTTTGTGCCTTTCAAATATCTTAAAACTCTTTTAAGGCATTGCCATAATTCTTTATTATTTTTACTGGTATATCTACTTAAAATAATAATAAATATATGTTTTTGTGAATCTCTCCTTTATCGAGAAGATAAATACAAGGATCTACAGCAGAACTAACAAATCCAACTGTTTTCAAGATTTTCTCGAACATTTCATACCAGCATCTAGCTGCTTGTTTCAGACCATAAATTGATTTGTTAAGTTTGCAAACTTTGTCATTTTTACATTCCAATCCTTGGGGAACCATCATATATATTTCCTCTTTCAACTGTCCGTTCAGAAAAGCAGTTTTCACATCCATATGATGTACTTTTAAATCAAACTGATTTGACAATGACATAATTAAACGGAAACTAGTTATTCTAGCCACAGGTGCAAACGTTTCATCATAATCAATCAGGTATTGTTGTGTGAATCCACGTGCCACAAGTCGTGCTTTATACTTTATTGGATTGCCCAATTCATCATTCTTGATTGTAAAAACCCACCTACAATCAACAATATTTGTATCTTTGGGTTTTTCGACCATGGTCCAAGTTTCATTTATAATATGAGCATCTAACTCTTCTTGAATTGCTTGATCCCATTTCAACTTGTCATTTCTTCCTTTTAATTCATTATATGAATTTGGGAGGTCATTAAAAAGAGTTTGTGAGTATAGTAGACAACTGTTTAAAAGTCTAAAAGGTACTGGTGGCTTATCTTTAAGCCTTTCACTTTTTCGGACTTCAGGTTTTTCTTCCAAACTACAATTTTGGAAACAATTCTTGTCTTTTTCCTTACTCTCATTCAGGATATGACTGTGACTATTTCCCATACTTTCATTCTGGGCATCAACATCATCTGTACTATCATTCGAGACTTCAAAATTTATATTTCCCATACTCTCATTCTGGGTCTGAACATATATATTTCCCATACTCTCATTCTGGGCAACAATACCATCCATACTGTCATTCTGGATCTGAAAATTGATATTTCCCATACTCTCATTCTGGGCAATACCATCCATACTGTCGTTCTGGATCTGAAAATTGATATCTCCCATACTCTCATTCTGGGCAACAATATCATCCGTACTTTCATTCGGGATCTCTGAATCACCATTAGGTACATAACAAACAAGAATGATTTGTCATCAAATTTCCTTTTTCTTGTTTTGTTATGCACATGAACACCTTTAGATATTTCAAAACTGGCTTTCTACTATGCCACATTTCAAATGGCGTTTTCTTTTTATCATATAACGCATTGGTTGGACTTCTGTTTATCAGATAAGTAGCTGTTAATACAGCTTCTCCCCAAAACCGTTTTTCCAACTTTGCGCCATTTTTCATGGCTCGAGCTTTTTCAGTAATTGTTCTTATCATTCGTTCAGATTCCCCATTTAATTGTGGTGTATGTGGAACTGTTAAGTGATAACTAATTCCCTTTTGAACGCAATAATTTCTCATCTCATTTGATAGATATTCTCTCCCGTTGTCTACATACAGATTTACTACTTTAAGATTGAAATGACTTTCACTCTTTGCAACAAAATCTTTGAAAAAGTAGAACACATCAGATTTATATGTTAATAAATAAGTCACATAGTAATGAGTGAACTGATCAACAAAAATCACATAGTAATTTTTGCCATCTATTGTAGGGGGTGTAATCGGACCACAGACATCTGAGTGTATTATAAATAAAGGCCTTTTAATATACTCTTTATTTGTAAACTTTGAAAATGGTAATCTGGCTTGCTTTCCATTAACGCAAGCTTCACATATATCATTACCAAATTCAATGTTATTTAACAAATTTATATCTTCACACATATTGTTTCTCTTTAACTCTATTAATTTTCCCTTGCTAATATGTCCCATTCGCTCATGCCACAATTGATACATATTTAAATTATTTTTATTAGTTATATATGCTCGATGGCATAGTTCAAATTCTATAACGGGAACATCATAAAAATACGTACTTTTAAAAATAATTTTTCCGTCCTTAGTAACGGTCACACCTCCTGCCGAAAACACAATCTCCATACCAGCATCTTGCATTTTCTTAACCGAAAGAAGATTCTGAGGAATGTGCTCGCAGAACAGCACGTTCTCGAGGGTGATTTTTGATTTTTGGTCACTCTGTAGCTCCATAGTACCTTTGGCTGTTGCCTGTATGTACTCGCCGCATTTGGCAATTGCGATCTCAATTGGCCGCTCCAAATCTTTGCAGTTTAGCAACAGACTTTTTGTATTTACCATATGGTCAGAAGCGCCTGAGTCCAAGATAAACGAAATGGAGTTCACATTTTTGTTCGGTACATTGACGACCCTTTTTAGCATAAAGGCAATGTGTCTATCTGGGTGGTGTGCATTGGCCGTGTGAGCTTGCTTGCCATTTTCATTAATATTATTTGTGTAATTATTATTATTATTCTATTCTATTCTATTCTTTTGCCCCCTTTTGAAACTGAAACAGTCCTTTTTAATATGTCCCATTTTATTACAGAAATGGCATTTCATATTTGCTCTTTTATTCATTTTGTTCTTAAAATTGTTTTTATTTTTGAAGTTATTATTTGTATTAAATTTATTTTCCTTATATCCATCATTTCGAACTGCTTGTAAGACTTTGAAACTGGTTTCTTTGTTAGAACCTTTTAATTTTATTTCCTGATCTATCAGCCTATTTTTCACGAACGCTAAGGTTAAGTTTTCTTCTGATAAAGTTTCTATCGCAGTTATAATGCCATCATAGCAAGAGGGAAGTGTCATTAGCAAATGAGACACTCTGTCTATCTCTTCGATTTTTCCACCCGAAGACATTAGTTCGTTTACTAAGTCATCAAAAATTTGGAAATGATTCTTGAGCGATGAATCGGATTTTAATTTTAACGACAATAGTTGCTTCCTAATCGAAAGTTGAGACGCTAAACTTTTGCGCTCATATATATTGTCCAAATTTTTGAGAATTTCCTGCGCGGTACACCCTTTGGTTACAAAACTGAGAAATGAATCTCCTAAATATTCGATAATTAAACTTTTCGCGACTCTTTCGGCCTTTTGCCACTGATCAGTTTCTTCATCTGGTTTTTCGCGGTCGATCACCTTTAGGACATCATTTTCGGACAAGAGCGCTCTTATTCTAAACTTCCAGATCGAATAGTTTTTACCGTCGAAAAGTTTTATGTTCCTTTTTATTTTATCCATTTTATTTTATTATTCAGTTTGGCTTCGCACAACTACACACACACGTCGTCCGATCTCTGCAAAACTATACACATACAAGATCTTTGAGTATGTACACACGCTAATGCATACAGCAGGCGTCGTCGTACCACACACAAGTTTTGAAAAAAAAATGCGGTTCTGGAAATTTCTGCGTGGTAACACACGAACACAATTTTCGTGTAAGCGTCGCTGACACACACACACTAGCTTTGCAATAGTAGTGCGGTTCTGGAAATTTCTGCGTGTGCACATATATGTACATACAATTTATGGGCAAGCGTGTCAGGTTTTTACAAAATTTCCAGGAAATATATATGTATATACTCACGCACAATTGAGATTTACTTAGGATTTCCAGCCAGGCTTCGCTTCATCTCCAGAAATGCGTTCGTGTATGCACACATATGCAATAAGTTGCATACGTGACTTCATGCGTCTCAAAATTATCAGCATACACACATACACAGCTTTTTAGTAGTTTTGATATTAGGAATTTAGTTTAAACGCGATTAAAAATACTTGGTGACTGGGCCCATAACCTGTTGGTATATGTAATATTCTGAGTAATAATTAAGACGGTTTGTGTAATACTTTTAAATGTTTCTTTAATGTTCTTTTACTTCAACGAGAAGGAACGTGTGAGTCGCTTCTGGGGACGCGACTCTACTTATACCCGTACTCAGTCAGCATTTACATTTTTGAGCATAAAATTATTTAGAATTAAAAAAAAAAAAAAACATTTGACATTTTACATTTTTTTGCTACATCTGTTATCTACATCTACATATACTATGTATATTCTACATCTAACATGTATATTCTACATGTACCATTCATATTCTACATCTCCTCCGCTAGGGGTTGCTCGCGCACTGAACGCGGCAGAGTGTGCGAGCGAGAAGGAAAATGAGTTGCGTTGTCGTTTGCGGGAGGAGGGACAGTTGAAGCAACTGAAAATTAATTTCTTCATTCTGGCTATAATTATGATCCGATCTAGTTAACGATTGAGAATCTAGTGGATATGGGCATTTTCTACGATACTGCTTTTTTAGTTTTATCGTATCTTTAAAACTGTGCCTCCACAGATTTTCATCCTTTGTGTGGGCGGAAGGGGGCGGGGCGAAATTTTGAAATACACTTGTAGCAGTGGGATATCACATAAGTCTGGAAACCAAATTTGGTTTCTCTAGCTCTTAAGTATTCTTTGAGCCAACCCAAAAACAAAAAAAAAAAAAAAAAAAAAAAAAAAAAAAAAGGAACGGACGGACAGACGGACAGACAGACATGGCTATATCGAGTTTTGATATTAGGAATTTAGTTTAAACGCGATTAAAAATACTTGGTGACTGGGCCCATAACCTGTTGGTATATGTAATATTCTGAGTAATAATTAAGACGGTTTGTGTAATACTTTTAAATGTTTCTTTAATGTTCTTTTACTTCAACAACTTTATTTTTTGGTTTTGGTCAGTAAAATACCTCACGTAGGAGGCCAGCAGATCGTCCATTTTGTAGCCCTGGGTGGTGCTGCAGAGCAGCTTCGAGGCGCCAATCATGTTGCCAAAACGTATGTGAAAATGATTCTGGCCGGAGCTCCACATGCCCAGCTGCGAGTACTCGTAGCTGCGCAGCAGCTGCTTCGTCTGCCCGTCCAGCAGATGGAAGCCGGCGCCATTGATGGCAATCAGCAGGCACTCGGGCAGCGTCTCGTCGTTCTGCTGCTTCGCCACAAAGAACGTGGAGCCGAAGCACTGTTGCTGGGCGAGTGCCTGCAGGAACAGCAGCTTGGCCTGCTCCTCGCTCATCTGCTCGTGCCGCAGACGTGGCAGGATGCGTTGCCGCCAATCGGCCAGCGGCAGCAGCGGTATCAGATCCTCGGGCACCAGGCGGGGCAACACCTCGGCGAGTCGCTGCAGACTGATCTCCTGATCGGCGCTGTAGACGAGTGCCGCCAGCTGCGAGGCCTGCTCGCAGTCGATGGGATAGTAGCCCTTGAGGTACTTGTGCAGCTCCTGGGGATAGCTGAAGATGACGTCGCCGTTGGCATCCTCGCCGGGCCGACTGTTGTTCAGCCAGAGTTTGCGCATAAAGTGCAGCTGGTAGTGGCCGTCGCAGGCGGCGCGAATGGTGCGCTGCTGCCGCAGCCAGCTGAGAAGTTGGCTAATGAAATCGAACACAAAGTCCGCCTCCGGCATGGCGTACACCCGCTCGCCCGTCTTCAGGAAGATGCTGTAGCCCACCGCAGACTTCAGCTGCAGCCGCTGGCCAATCTGCGCGATCAGCGCGGCGCCGCGCGTATGCGACTCGATCTCGAAGGCCTCCACCGTGTCGTCCGGGAAGTAGATCTTGTGGTAGATGTGCATGCAGCGCTGCTGTATGCCCTCCACCTCGATCAGATGCGGCGCCTGTTGGCGCTGTCCGTGCTGCAGGCAGCGCTTGAGGCGCTTCAGGCAGGCATCCGCCAGCGAGTCGGCGCGCAGGCGCAGCAGCAGGAGAAGCTCGCGCATGATCAGCACACTGGGCGCCAGCAGGCCCGTGGCCAGATAAAGCAGATCCCAGCCACGGCGCTCGCCCTCCGTGCCGGGATTCTCGCTCAGCTGCTTCATCAGCTGGCAGTAGAGCTCGTCGCAGAGCAGCGGCTGCTGCAGCGCCGGCTGAAAGATGAGGTCCGTGTTGACGGGCAAATTGCTTCTGGCTATGTCGCCCATATACTGGGGGGTAGAACAAATAAATATAGTCGGTGGAAAACTGCCACTGGAAGGGCCTACTTCAGTACCTTCATTAGGTGATGGTTGATGACCAACGACTGTTGGAACAGCTGCGGCTTTGTGGCCAGCGCCTTGAGCAGCGGCGCCTTCAGTGGTTCCGCTGAATACGTCCAGAGTGGCGCCGTCTCAGAGCTGTGGGGGGAGGGGCGGCAAAACTTTGATTAATTTTTTTTTTTTCTGGACGTTGATATGCAATGACTGCACCATCAAGTGGCCCATGCGACACCAAGCCGAAGCCTGTTACGCGCGGAACCCAGGCAGAAACGCAGCCCTCCTCCCGCCCAACCAACCGAGGGGCGCTGCCGCATGACGCGCGACGCGTGTTACCGAACCGATCGCGAGCATGCAGGAAAGATAGGTTTTAGACTAAAATTCGAGGAAAATTAGAGCTAAACACAACTCAAAGAGCTAAGCATGCAAAGATAGCTAAAAAATATAACTAATTACGGGAAAGGTATGCTAGTATTAGTGATTTAAGAAGAGGAAGGGAATTAGTAGTTGATATTATGTGGCAGAGGGAATTGAAGTCCGAGCAAAGTACCCTAAGTGGTTCGTGCAAGGAATAATTCGATCTACAAAGCGGAAGGAAAAGAGGAATGAAGTTTCTAGTAGATCTAATAGGAATCGTAAAGTTTATGCGGCTCAACAAGTCAGGGCTATCTACATCACCCTTGATCAGGTTGTGCATAAAAATCACACCAAGCATTTTTCTACGACTAACTAAGGTTGGAAGGTTTATTAAAAGCAATCTACGAGGATAAGATGGCAGTCTCACACCTGCATCCCAGTTAAGGCCACGCAGAGCAAAAAGTAAAAAGTTTTTCTGGACTGATTCTATACGGTCCTGGTGTACTTTGTACTGGGGGCACCATACACAATAGCCGTATTCTAAAATCGGACGAACAAGCGAGATATAGAGAGTCTTCGTTATATAGGGGTCGTCAAATTCCTTTGACCACCTCTCTATAAACCCAAGCACACCCATGGCCTTATTTACCATGGTAGAAATGTGTTCAGAAAACTTCAACTTTGGGTCTAATTTAACACCAAGATCATCAACCAAGGTAATTCTCTCAAGAGAACCACCGCAGAGGCTATAGGGAGCCAATAGGGGGCTGGAGCGATGAAATGTCATTACTTTGCATTTCGAGGCATTTAGGTGTAACATATTTGCACAACACCATGATTGAAAGTTATTGAGATCGGATTGCAAGCGAGAGTGAAATGAAATGTCCTTATACTGGACACAAAGTTTAACATCATCCGCATACATGAGTACTCGAGAGTTTGTTAATACTGAAGGCAGATCATTAATAAAGAGTGTGAATAGTAGGGGGCATAGATGGCTGCCCTGTGGTACTCCAGAAGTAACCTTAACAGGTGAAGAGAAGGAGTTTTTGAAGAGGACTCTTTGAGACCTAGAACAAAGGTAGCTAGAAATCCATCTCAAAAGATTAGGCGGAAACCCTAAAAGGTCAAGTTTTTGTGCTAAAAGGGAATGGTTTACAGAATCAAATGCTTTACTAAAATCAGTGTAAATGACATCCGTCTGCAAGTTACCTTGAAAGCCTTTAATGATAAAAGAGGTAAACTCTAATAAATTTGTGGTTGTTGATCGTCGCCTTATAAATCCGTGCTGGGACGGAGATATAAGTGATTTGCAGAGATGCTGCAAGTGCGGAGTTAAAATTTTTTCAAACATTTTAGGAATAGCGGATAACTTAGATATACCCCTATAATTATTTGCATCAGACTTGCTACCTTTCTTATGGAGTGGAATAATAAAAGATTCCTTCCAGATGGGGGGGAAGCATGAAGAGTTAATGGATAGGGTGAATAGTTTAAGCAAGGGTCCACACAGAGCGTCGGCACATTACCTGAGTACACAGCCGGGAACTCCGTCGGGACCTGGTGAAAACACCGGCTTAACTAGTCGAAGATCATGAAGCAGTGAGCTTTCATTTAACAAGGGGTTGAAGATGCCATTCGACCTTGGTAAACTGTATGGATACTGCTGACCAGAGTAGCTTTCATGAGAATAGGTTGTTTGGAAAAATTTGGCAAAAAGATCGGCAATTGCCTGATCATTGTTTGCTGACATATTGAGAAAAGATAACGAGGATGGATGTACGGACGTTCTACGCTTACTATTTACGAAGCTGTAAAGCTGTTTAGGGTCCTGTGAAAATCGTATCCTGCATCGAGATAGGTAGTTCTTATAGCATTGAGCGTTAAGAACGGAGAAATTTTACCGAGCTATTACATAGTGAGAAAGAGAAGAGGGAGAACCAACTTCTCGAAATTTTTTATAAAGTCTTGATTTTAAATTTTGTAGACTGGATAACTCCTTGGTAAACCAAGTAGGCTTTCCAGATCTAACCGGACAAGAAAGTGGGACACAAGAATCAAAAAATGTGTCAAGTACATTGTAAAAAATGTGTGTGCCTTTCATAACGTCAGTGCACAAGTACAGAGCGGACCAATCAAAATCCCTAATAAGGTTATTGAGCTTCGTAAACTCGGCTTTACGAAAGCAGCGGACACGTTCAGATAGCCTACCATCGATCCAAACAGTAGGGCCTACGACTGACACTCGAATGTAGGTGGTAGGGTCTCAGGATACGAGCGGGGGCTCGGGTTAACAACGCTATGGCGGACCGAGACAACACAGATCGCAACGACCCAGGATTTTCACATGGTTGACTGAGACAGGGATAGGTCTAGCAAGCCGTCGATAAAGTCATGTCGTGACATGGGCACAAGGTTATTAGACTCGTTTACCGAAGACCAAACAGCACCTGGCAAATTAAAATCACCAAGAACTATCATATGGTCTTTATCTGATAGCGAGGAAGAAACAGTTTTTAAAGCGGTCAGGTGATGCTCGTATATTAAGATATCCGAGGAAGGTGGAATATACGAGCAAGTAATGAAAATGGAAAAGCCTGGGAGAATCAGTTTTACGCACAGGAATTCCAGGTCTTGTTGAACCTGGACCATGAAATGTTCCGACGTGAAATTTGAGTCCACTGCAATAAGGACCCCACCTCCACGTCGAGACGAACGGTCATTTCTAAAAATTGTGTACCGACCTGCCAAAACTTCGGAACTAAGGATGTCCGGCTTTAACCAGGTCTCGGTGAACACAATAACGTGGGATGAGAATGCGAGACTCTCAAGGAAAAGAGTGCTGAGCTTACTACGCAAGCCTCTAGCATTCTGGTAGGTAACTACAAGAGAGGAAGTTAGTTTTTTGGATGGGTGGAAGTAGAGGTGGAAGATGAGGATGGAGATGGAGATGGAGCACTGGTCTGAATGCTAGGAAGAGTAATGGGGGGCCTATTCTTTTTGTTTAGCCTTAAACTCTTTAACCACCAAATGCTCTGGCCAAAACTTGGCGGAACAAATGGTTTCAAATTGAGTTGGGGAGACGCTTATCTTGAAGGAAGATATCTCCCTGGCGTAAGAAAAGTTAAATTTTTTCCCCTTTAATTTTCCTGTGCTAAGAACTCACTCCAAGGCGTCTCTGAACTGCAGCTCAGCCAGCTGAGAAATATTATGCTGGCGACGGCGTAGTATGGTTCTTCGCGGCGTCACCTTGGGTGGCTCCTCATCGAAGCGGCCCTCGCGCAGGATCTCCTGCAGCTCGGCACTGGGCGCCGTGAGTGTGGCCAGCACGCGCACATTGCCGGCGGCGAACTGACCCCACTGACCCGTGCCCTGGACACAGCCACGCCAGCACTGCTGTGCCTGGCCGGACAGCAGCTGGGCGCCCGTGACGCCCGCATCGAACTGTACCAGATCGCCCGGCGCGAGCCGCAGCACATCCTCATCGTCCAGCTGCGGCGAGTGATCGAGCGCGACGCCGTAGCCGGAACGCTGCCGCAGATTGTCCAGCATGTAGTTGATCAGATCGCTGGCATCGGCCGCGGCGCTGCACTGCAGCACGAAGTTCACTTGCTGCACGGTGCGGATGTGCAGCTCCTCGTTGGGCGCCGCCTGCACCGTGAGCAGCTCCGCGAAGCTGCAGGAGGCCAGCACCTGCTCCGTCTCGTCGACGAGGAAGAGTCCTGTGGCATTGATGGCCAGCATCAGTTCGTCGCTCTGCAGCTTGGGTCCCGCCCTGCGCAACACCTCGAACAGGCGCGAGTGTCGCATGGGCCAGGACAGATGGGCGAACAAGCAAATGTCCTCCTTGGCCCGCTGCTGGTTGGCCGCCACCAGCTCCGCCTGCTCTGGCTCTGGCTCCTGCTCCAGCCGCACATAGGAGCTGCGCTCGTAGGTGGCTGCGATGAGGCGACTCCAGTTCTCCACGGCACGTGCGCCCGGCGCCAGCAGATCGCTGGGCACAAATTCCGTGATCTGTGCCGTCTGCAGGCGGCCAATGGCGCCGGGGCCATGCTCAATGAAGCAGGCCAGGGCACAGACCATGGCAATGTCCTTCTCGGAGCGACAGCGATACTCGCCGCACCTCAGGCCGTTCAGGATCTGCCTGTAGATCAGATGGGTGGCCTGCGCGTCCAGCGCGGGATCATGCCACGTGGCAAACATCTCCTTGCGCAGATAGAGCTTCCAGGGCGCGTCCAGCTGTCGCTGTTCGCACACCGAAATGGCGTCCAGAACGTGCTCCTGGCCGGCGCCCAGCGGCATCAGACGGCCGTGCAGCGACATCAGCAAACCGAAGCCAAAGCCGTCGCTCAGGCCCAGGCCCTGGCAGAGCTGCTGCACCGCCTCCCGGGCCGTGCTGGCCGCATCCACCTGGAGTCGCCGCGTCTGTCCGTCCATCAGGTGTATGTCCAGCCGCAGTGGCTGGCGGCCGCGTATGGCCTGCAGCTCCAGCAGCGATGGCGGCTGGCTGCGCGCGCCATTCAGCAGCGTCCTTTCGAGGCGCTGCAGCGAGGCAGCAGCCTGCAGCTGGGCGGTGCCCTGCTTCATGAAGCTGCGCAGATGCGGCTCAAAGTCCGCGCTGGGCGGAAAACAGCTCAGGCAGAGGGACAACAGCAGCCAGCCGCGGGCATGGGACGTGCGACTCGGATTGAGGTACAGCTGCTTGCAGATCTGCGCCAGGATTTCATCCCTGAGAGAGAGTTGAGTGGTTAATGGTGAGCGCTGCTGCCCGACTCCGCCCTACCTTAGGTTATCCTTCAGTATGCCATGGCCTGTAACAAAGTGCAGCTTATCCAAATGGCTGCTGGGCACATGGAGCCAATGCTGATAGAACAGCTCGGCCTCCCGCTGGCTGCTGCCCTGCAGCTTGGAGGGACGCTTCAGGGTCTGGCGCACAAATAGTCGCGGCTTTGTGGAGCCCAATGGCGTCAGGAGTCGCGATAAATCACTCATGATGTTGGCATCATCCGAGGATGGAACAGGCGACGAGGGAGCCAGCTCGGGCATATCGCCCATGAAGCGCAGAATAGTCAACCAAATGGCCTACAGAGAGGGGTAGAAATCCGTGGAATTACAGCTGGAATTATATGCAGCAAAGACTCTCACCTTTGAGGCCATTTCATCCAGCGGGAGTTCATGCTTGAGCAGCGACTGCTTCAGCGGCTTTCTTTCATGCTGCGCTGTGGCGCCGCCGCCAAAGTAAGTCGCGGCATATTTCAGATAACTAAAATCCGAGGTGTCTATGTGCTTGGCCACCGGCTTGGGCAGCCGTATGGTGTCGCCCGAGGCAATGGCCTGGAGTCGCCTGCGAGCAGCCTGAAAATAAATAAAGAATAAATAAATAAATATTTCCAGGGTAATTTCCAGGCGACTCCTCCCAGTGGGTTGTGCGTTCTCTTATACGCTTAAGACATTCAATTGAGTTTATATTTCAGTGGTATTAATTATTTCGACAGCTGTAATCTGAGTGGCACTTATCGTGAGGTGCTTTGGGCGTAAGCTTTTATAAATATAGCACACGGGGCTGCGTATGCTGCACCCGCAGATAGATGTGCCCCGTAGCCCCGCGGCGATAAGCATTCTGCTGGCCGCTTATTTACGATCCGCGTTTTATTTCATTTATCATTTTGGGGGTATTTGTTTTAAACTTCTGCCGCCACACTGATAGCAACCTGTCGTCCGCCAGCCGCTTTTGACCACGCTCCATTCTCATTCCCATTTCCATTTTAGTCTGAGCTCTAAATTCAGTTGCTGACTAAAGACGACACGGTGCGGAACTGACTACCACTGGGAACTGCGCATGGAAATCTCTCTCTTGGAAATCTGGCTAAATAAATTATATATTTTTTGAGTTGCTGTTTCGGTGGTGCTTTGTGCTTGTTTTTTATTTTTAAATGGAACTGGTGAAGGGTTCTTGGGGAATATTCGGGAAATGCTCGAAATTATTTCATGAATATTTTGAATATTTTGAATTTTTGGCATGCCGTTTAAAAGTGCAGAATTTTTGGAGTATTGGCAGTATAGAAACATTGCAAGAAAAAAAATTAAAGAAAGATATTACCAGAGAATATCTCAACTAAAAAATTTTAGTTTAAAAGTTAAAAATTTCCATAGTAATTTTAAATATGAAAATATTTTGCAAGAATATTTTATGAATATTCTATGTTCCCAGAGAAAAATGATATTAATTAATTTAAAGCGATAAGAATTTCTAGGAATTCATTCCCCGTAAACTATATTTTTAATAGCTGAGATATATTTCCACAGAATATTCCAATGAAATTTTACCAGAGAAAAATTATATTAATTTGAATCTCTGGAGCCAAGAATTTCCATGAACTTTCTTTCACTTAATGAGCCAAGAATTTCCATGAATTTCTTTCAATTAATGAGCAAAGATTTTTGAAAAATAATCTATGAAAAGTTCACACCGTAAATCTTGATGTATTTTTATACGAAAAGGCGTGAAATTTACAATCATTTTTGATTAAGGAAATGTGGTTGTAAATTATAGAGGAAGCTTCCTTTGGTAGGGTACGGAATGTGTGGGTTGTAAATAACCTTCTGGCTAATGAGTTCACTTTTATGATGCAAATAAAATAAATGAAACAATTTCCGCTTCAATAAAAGCCCAAAGATCGTATCTGCGTTAAAGGAATATTTTAAGAGCTGCTAATCTTTAAATTAAACGCCGAGTACCAATTGAAAAAAAATAATATATATAAAAAAAATATACCATATTTAAAGTCTAATCTGTTAGTGGCTAATCTATGCCTAAGTTTAGGCAAACGAATTAAATAAAACGCCAATATTAGTCGTAGGTGCTCATGGTATAAATTTTAAATTAATTTTCCGCTGACTATGCAGAAATATTGAATATAATATATATAATGGTGAAATGTGATCTGGGGGACACTCACTGGCATTGACGGGTGGGGACAAAAATATACAAAAAGCCAATAGATCGGGGAACGCAAATGGAAAGCAAAAACCGCAACCAACGAAGCAGAGCAGAGCAGACGAGAAAACGAAACATTTATATCTCTAGATTCCTTAGATATCACCAGCAAAATGGGTTTTATTTACAGAGTACAATAAATATTATGGTTATACATAAACACTATAAAAACTATAAAATTATATATATATGGGAGGGAGGAAACTGTAACAAAAAGCGATCACAAACACAGCTCTTTTTTTGTTCTCATTCTACGAAACGTATGGATACAATATATACAATATTATATGGTATATACAAGCTGACGTTTACTGCATGTATTTGATTTGTACATAAAAAAAAAGAACCAAATGGAATGCCACCCACCCCCAATGGAGAGTCGTAAGGCTGGAGGAGAACCCAAGGTTATCCTCCAGTCTTAGGGACTAATATCATCTACAGCTATGTCTAGTTTGTTCAGAGCCCTCTCTGGCCACTGTCCCGGCCGAGCGTCGCCTACTAGAGGCGGGTCTGGTTGACAATTTTGCGGGGCGCCGCCTCGTAGTAGTTGACGGGCCGGGACAGCAGCTTTGTGGGCACATCTCTGCGCAGGCGCAGCTCTCGCTCGAACATCAGAGACTTCTCCTTGACATTCGGCCCCAGCGGACCACTCACATCGGGCTCATCGTTCAGGAAGCCAAAGACATCGTCCACCATCTGCTTGGAGGACTCCACATCGTTGTAGCCCTGCGGGCTCTCCGGTATTGCTGCAATGCCATTCGTTTTGGCGGCGGTCTGACTGGCGGGACGCGTGCCCAACGGAGCCGCGACAATCAGCGTGGTGGGTGGCGGTGGCAGGGACATGCGCGCCTGCAGCGTGGGCGCCTTGGGCGCCTCCTGCTTGAGGGACCTTGTGCGCTTGGGCTGTTGCAGAGCGGCCATGGCCAGGGCATTGCGGGTGGCTGCCTCGGCCTTGAGTCGCTGCTCCTCCTGCTCGTCCTTGAGCCGCTGATCTTGCTCGGCCTTGAGCCGCTGCGCCTCCTTCACCTGTAGCTGCTCCTCCTTGAGACGCAGCTGCTCTTGCTCCTGCTGCGCCTGCTGCGCCTTCTGTTCCTGCTGCTGCTGCCTGACTAGCTGCAGCTGTTGCTCCTCCTTCAGGCGCACCAACTGCTGCTGCTCCTCCTTCTGCTGCTGTCTGCGGGTCGCCAGTTTGCCCTGGAACTCCTTGCGCGTGAGGTAGCCCCGTGAGAGGGCCTGCAGCTTGATGGTGCGGCATCTTACCATCGTGAATCTTGTGGTCAGCTGCTGGGCAGCTATGCAGGCGCCCAGCCGATGGAAGCCCTGCCGCATGATCTGGTACTTACGGCGCTGCAGGCGACCCCGCCAATGCCGCTGCACGGTGACGATGGCCTGCCGGTATCTCTGCAGATATCGCCGGAAGAGAACGCGCCTGAAGCCACGCTGTATGGCCACAATCGATTTGAGCATCAGCTGGGAGCGCTGCTCCTCCAGACTGGCATCATCCTCGTCCCGCAGAAAGAGCTTCGTCTTGCCAAACTGGCGGTCCGAGTCGGCGGGCAGTGTGGCCAAACAGATCTGCTGCGCCACCTGCCGGCAGTCGCACTTCTCGAGGGGACCCGTCGGCGGCACCAGCAAGCGATAGCGCTCGACAAAGGCGCGGTAGGCGGTGCGTATGGGATATCCTGCGCGTCGGATGCGCGCCGTCTCCATCATGCCCGAGTAGCGCAGCTGCCGTACGCACAGCTCCTTGTCGAAGTTCTGCAAGAGATTACAAGAGTCGTCAGTATTGGGAACTCTCCATTGGGACTCCGTTCCGCTGCTCACCTTTGGCTCCTTGTACTCATTCGGCTTGATGCACCGTATGAAGTAGGGATGCGCCTGCGCGAGCGTCCGCATCAGCATGTCCAGCGAGTTGCGGAATTTCACGCACAGTGTGGGCTGCTTCTTGGCCGTGTCCATGGGCATTTCATGGGGAAAGATATCCACCAGATATTTGTTGGCCGAACGCTGCACGAGCGTTCGCAGGTCACCGCTAAAGGAGTCGCGATTCTTTTCGAGGAAACCCAACGGATTGTACATGACCACGCCCGCATAGTGACGAATGCCAAAGAGCGAGGTCTGTGTGGTCTTGCCCTTGACATAGATGGAGCGATTGCCATGCTGCACATGCAGCTTCTCGAGCAGTGTGCTGTCCGTGCCCTTGGGGAACTTTGATTCCTCGTCAATCAGGGACATGAGGTTCATTGGCTTCATGCCAATGAGATCGAGTATTTGTTGATTGTCCTGGAACTCAATGTGCTGCCAGTTGATATGCTCGTTCTGGTATTCATCTTGTTCCATCTATAATGAAATTTAAGAGAGGTTTTTTCCATAAGTAAAGATTGTCATCTCTAAATTACAGGCACGTAACGCACTACGACTGCCATCTCTAGTTTGGTTGTGCTATCTCGCTTTGCCCTGAAGCCTTTACGCACAAGTCGCTCTCTGAGAGAGCGCATGAATTACATATTCTACCTGCGTGCTTAGTCATCAACAAGCAGAATAGAAGAATACGACAGCCAGGAACATGCACAGACATGCAAGCCGAGCCCCGTTTGTTGTGCCTATGCTGCAGCTTATCTAGCTTTTGAGAGAGCGGCTTCGTCTGACAGCGAGAGTGGTTGTTGCTGAGAGAGAGCGCTATAGATGTAGCGAAAGATAAGACAATTGGAACTGCAGACTGCGAGCGATGCAGACAATGTAACAGCAACAACAATGACAATGCTTTGAGAGAGCAACAGAAGGGAGAGTGTGTGTGAATTTGCTTACTGAGTGAGCAAGAGAGAGTGTGTGCGTGAGAGGAGCAAAGCTCGTATCGTTGACAAAATAAAGATCAAAATAAAGATAAATCAAAATAAAACAATTGCCGACTGCCCCACAAGCAACTCCTTCCTACCTTGAAAATGTGTCCCACAAAGAACTGCTGCAGATTCTCATTGGCATAGTTGATGCACAGCTGCTCGAAGCTGTTGTTGTCAAAGTTCTCGAACCCAAAAATATCCAGCACGCCGATGCTGTTCATCGGTCGATCCGGCTGCTTGTTGATCGTCTCATTGATGCGACGCACAATCCGCACAAAGATGCCATCGTACAGGGCCTTGACGAAGGCGTCGCGTCCCTCGAGGGCCGACTCCTTGGACAGGCTGGTGGTCACATGCTCGCCATGGACGAATATTGTGCGCTGGGTCAGGGCCAAATTCAATGGGGCAACGGGAATGCCCAGCAGCTTGGCCACCCTCTTCAGGTTCTCGTCATCGTCCACCTCGGCCGCCTCCTGATGGGCCACTTCTGTGGCCTTGAATCGCAGGTTTCCAATGTGCAGGATGGCCGCCAACAGGCAGAGTATGCTCCACATCTCCTCCGGCTTGAAGGAGAGCACCTTCATGGCCGCCCGAATATCGGCAAAGTCCTTGGCGTCGCCCCTGCCGGGCAGCGTGAAGCAGCCGCCCTGGGATAGGTAATGGTACTGGCTGGGCGACTGCTCCTGCAGCATGAGACGTTGCCGTTCCGGCGGCGTCAGCCCCGCCAGCATGCAGTAGAAAATGTGGTAATTGCGCTCCTCCCGACTCTGGAAAACGATGCGGGACTTCTCCAGAAGATACTGCTGAATGCGGGCTCCCTGGATGGCGCCCTCGGGCGTGAACCGAATCTCGATGTACTTGCCAAAGCGCGAGGAATTGTCGTTCCGCACGGTCTTGGCATTGCCAAAGGCCTCCATAATGGGATTCGCCTCGATGATCTGCTGCTCGATCCAGGAGTGTTTGCCGCTTATCGCGGCCAGGTACTGCAGGATCAGTTTGGTGCTCTCCGTCTTGCCCGCCCCCGACTCGCCGCTGATGACCACGCACTGGTTCTCCTTGTGCCGCTGCAGTCGCTGGAAGGCATTGTCACTGATCGCAAAAATGTGCGGCGGCAGCTCGCTCAAGGCCTTGTTTCTGTACAGCTGGATCTCTCGATTCGTGTAGATGGGCAGGATCTGGTATGGATTGATGGCCACCAGCATGGAGCCAGTGTAGGTCTGAAACAGAGTTAGAGATTAGTCACAGCCACAGGGCATCTTTGGTTCCATTCACTCACATATATCAACTGTTTGGCATAGCGATTCTCCAGGTTCCTGAGGATTGTGTACTCCTGCAGATCGCCCAGGGTGATCATATCCTCGACATCCTGCTGCGATGTGATGTGCATGGCCTTGAGCACATCCCCTGCTGGCACCCAAAACTGCTTCTTGCGATCATCGCAGACCAGCGTCTGGGTCTTCTCCGTGCGCACAATGCGCGCACCAAAAGGCACCGCAAACTCACTGGTGGCATTCTGCGGCTTCACCCACACATATTCGCCCTGTCGATGGAAAATGTTTTTTGAAAGTTGTAGTAAAGTGAACCAGGCAAGGGATTCCCCTAAGGTCAGGTGACATTTACATCATAAATGTAATTGATAAGATTTGATAAGCTGCACAGTAAGTGTAACCATGTTACATCGATAGTTCATAAATCAGTGGCAAGTCCATAAAGAGCTTAAAAATATAAATGAAAAATGTTATCTGACTGCCAACGATATAATCTACAGAACATTGAACTTCTTTTTAACTTGTTTAAATATCACTAAAGATCGATGATCGATGGGCGTATGAATTATAAGCAGCCCAAAATTTCTATAACCATTATTGAGCTTTTTTCCTAGAAATTTGCACATTTTCCCTGTGTTAATTGTGGCTGAAAAAAAAAACGATATCAAATCAGCACAGAGCTAAATATCATGATAAAATGATTTAACCCCCTAAATTGCCACAAAAATTGAGCACTGATAAATTTCTATATAGTTAGGGGACCACACCCAATACGTATACGTATCGTAGCGAAGAGGAAATTATTTTATGGCCACGCTAAAGTTTGCTCTGTAAACCTTTGGATATATAACATATATCTACGTATATTCCATGGCCTGATTTAAATAAAAATGAAAAGAACACAAACGGTAGCCGACTCTGTGCAAATATGTGTATAGTTGTTGCTGCCAGGCATTGGCATTATCTTATCACTGGAATTCCGATATACAAAGCAGGTCTTATCGGTATCTGAGCATCGAATCGGGAATGTGAACAGGAGAAGACGACAAGGCAGCCCAAGCAGTTGATAATTACCAAAAGGAAGGGGGTCACACAAGGCATCGATCACAGGCATAGATCACACAGCCCCCAATGACCTTGCTTATCGAAGATTAGATTACGCTGCAGCCATCTGTCTGTGGCCTATTCCTGGCCATGAGCGAACACCTGCTTTAAAAATGAAGACTAATGTCTTACTAAATGTCTTTGCACCAATCATAAATACTGATCCACAATCAACGAATTCGCTAATCGAGAATGTCTCTCCTCGTGTGTGTGGCTTGTAGGTGAGATCACCCCAACCGAAAATGTGTGAGTCATTATTTGAGCTGAATCAGCAAATAAATATTCCATGAATTAGTTAGAATTAGCAGCAGCAGCGAGGAAGGAACATGAACAAAGTGTTGCCTGTATGTGGAGGACTCCCAGAAGACACAAAAACCTCTACTGATAAAAAATGTTTACTACGTATTTTATGGTGTTTATTCTGCTGAACTAAGGCTAAGACAATACATTCCGTTGTGGCTCTGGGCTTATGGCGTGCCAAAGCCTTTTACAGCACTTTTCCAAGACCCAACCAGCCCCGTATCTGCTTTCCTGCCTTCCTACCTTCCTGCTTCAATCTATAATCTATAATTGAGTTTTTTTTTTGCTGTTCTCGATAAGACCTTTGGCTTGGGCTGCGGCTTTGGAGAGCTCACTTGAATGGACTCGGTATTTGAATGGAAATTGTGACTGTTTTACACGCTCAAACTAAGTATGGCAATGAACCCATGACTAGACCCACAGGCCACACAGTGACGGGGCCCGAGACGGACACAATCGACATTTTGGAGCTACCTAATCGTAAACACTTTATGCTCATAATCTAAGGGTATTTATAATGATGTACATGCCTGGCATGTGCAGGTGGCACCACAACAATTAGCACACGTGTAGCCAAAAGGCAAAAAGGGAATCGGAATCGAAATCGAAATCGTCGTCTGGTTGATAAGTTTAAAATTAAAATATGCCCCATGATGTGTGGTGTGCTGATATGTGTGATAAAACGATTCAGTTATCAGTGTAATTTTCTGATAAGAGTTTTTTGAGTGCGGGAGACTGTGGTTATTTTGGGTGCCACGACAACCAGGAAGTCTACCAGGCTATAAAGCAACTTACATGTTCCCTCACAAATTCGCACATTTCGCTGCGGGTATTTCTGTAGCCAATTTCACAGCACTCCGAACTCCGAACTGCACACTACACAGAGACACACGCGCCGACGACAACGTTGCTTAATGGGCAAATGTTTGCCTCCCCACGAAATACTTTGTGTCTTTGTTTTCACAGCCGTTTTTACTTTCTTGCAGCGGCGATCCGATCAATGATTCTTTTCTTAGTTTCTTTTCTGTTCCGTTCCGCACGGAGGCTCGCACACGTCTGAGCGCTCTTCAATGGGGCCCCTCGATAGTGTCTGACAGGGTCTGGCTGGTGCGGCTCTTATCGCAACTGATAACGAATATTGAACGCTTTTTGGCAGCCCTTATCGTGGCTGCCACCCCACAACGATGCGGCCATATGGTGCGTCTCTCACAGTTAGTTGTTGCGGCGCAAAGTCGGAAAATTGTCTGCCTTTGCTTTTGCCATATGCATACGTCATGATTAACTGGTGCCAAGTGTAATGTACGGTGTTAGGGGGGGTATCTCCCGGATCTGCTTATCTGCCCATAAGTGCTGCGCGGTACTGACCCTGCACATGAGTCATGTGATTGGTCATATGTCGGGCGTACATTTATCAGGAGTATAACGCAACTTTAGGGTGCCATAGTGCAATGCCAGAACGAAATGAAGTGCGCCGCCCGAACTGCTGTGACTAAGTTTGATTCGATAGATAAATAAGCTGAGTAGCTGTTGCTAACAGTGTTCCATATTATCCGATTAAGTAAAAGTGGGCAAAGCTAAAGGTTAAAGTTGGGTAAAGGTAAAAGGTAAAGGTGTAAAGGTGTGCTCCTTTTTCTAGTAGATAAAATAAATTGCTGATTCTCTTTTAAATAAATTTCTAGTTCAGTTCTTGCTCACTAGAGAACTTTATTTTTTGTTCCTTTTCACTGTTTCAATTTATATTTATTTCTAATCCTATGATTCCATTCCTTTGTTCCCATTCCAAGACGCATTTTGTGCAGTTTTGATTGCGCTTTGATTAGTGCTTAACTGACACTTAAATTAAATAATTGAAACCCATTTGACACATACTCATAATAAATAAATAAATAATAAATTGATTGGCGTACCAACTGCGCAGTTTCTATTTTAGAATTAAGCATAAATAGGTGTTATTTGTTTACTGAAGTTTTGCGTACAAAATATTAAAATACCTGCAGCATGATAATAACTATCAATCCGTTCTGCTGTCACCCCCCGCGTACATTGTTTTCCATTTCATAAATTTCGATTTCAATAAAGATTGCAAAGTCCAAACAGCTGCTGACGATTCGTCATTCCATTCCATTCCATTCTAACTGGCGTTTGGCTATCGGACGATACGATACGACACATCATTGCCTGTCATCAATTAAAGTAATTTGTTGTACCGTTTTAATCATAATTGAATGCGTTTGTTTATTCAGCAGCCGCTGCGGCACAACGAAACCTGATAAAGCACAAAGCACAAAGGCAAACAACATTAACTCCACACTTCGAGTGCATGGAAGCCATCGAAACTTTAAGTCTCTGTTAAGTCTCTTCTAAGTCACATTTAAACTGGCAGTTGGTGGAATGCCTGGCCTGTGGTTTTTATCTTGTTTTGAAGCCATATTGTTTTAGCCTTCCCCTTGACATTGGCTGCCCGCCCGCAGACGTCACTATTGTTAGTAGATTGTTTTGGCTTTAACAAATTGTTTTGGCGATAAGCTAACGCCTGGAGGGGCAGAGAGGTGGGTGAGAGCTGCTTCAAGTGGCTGCAATAATAAATTTCTGATACCTGCGGGACATGTCACGTGCTCAATGAAACAAATCGAAGAAATGTGCTGGTACAGTGCAAAGCTGCCTGCTGATTGCTGCCTCCTGCTTGCACTCTGCTTTCGTCCTTGGCGGCATGCAATGAACTCGCGAGAAGCTGTTTCTTGCAGGAGTGGGCACTTGGGTTTGCCTTGTGCATTAAAAGCGCAATTAGGATTATCCTGCGAGTGCGCTTAGCAGAAGCAACACAGAAGAACAGTCAGCCAGCCAGCAAGCCAACCCGGCAGCTGGTGCGAGCTCAACTTTTGACCCAATTTCGGACGTCATAAATCCAGCAAGACAAAGCCGAAAAAAAAAGAAACCCAAAGGGCACAAGCAAAAGGAAAAGCGTTCTCTTTCTTCGCCTGTCAAGCGTTCGCTCTCTGTGTTCTCCCTTTTCGCTGTTGTATGCCGGCGGCGTATAAAAATTCAATTAAAGGACATGCCTACAGAGAGCAGCTAGCTGCGAATGGGAATGGGAAAATACGAATGTTGCCCCATAAATTCTGTGCTGATAGCAGGGCGTATGCGCAATGTCGTGCAATTTGTTTCATGCTCAGCCCAAGCAATCATCGTCGTCGAGGCGAACAATTTACAATGTTTGCCGTGTTCCGCCCGCAGATAGGAATATATGTGTGTACATTGGGAGTAGTAGCGGCAAAAGGTGGCAGTGAATGCCGCCGCTACCATTCCATTCGTTGCTGCAGCCGCTAAGTGACACTGATACTACCCGATGACGATGTGCCGTGGCCCCACACTCAGCCCACCCCAGCACTACACCCCACTGCCAGTTGGAGAACACATTGCTGACCTATATTCGGGCATCAATGAAACGCGAGCCAGATGTGTGTGGTGCACAGAGCGGGGCGAGAGAACGCAGGGAACGAAAGGCAGCGCAGTTTCAATGCTATTCAGTAAGTTGAGTAAAAGCTCCAAGTAGCCGCTTGCTTGGGCTTGAGCAAAAGCTGCTGCGCTCTCTTTATGTCAGGAAGCTTTGGGACGACTGGAAGTGAAAGCTGCTGCCTTATCGCGCGCCGGTCTCTCTCCCCCTGACTGGCTGGCGCTTTCATTGATGCTAACTGTATGCCAAAGGGGTAGAGCGACAGAAAGACGGAAATGTATGCAAAAGAAAGGGCAACTGAAAGTCAGTGGGAGATAGAATTAATTAATAAAAATTAATTAAATTAATAAAGTAAATTAAATTAAATTAAATACATGCTGGCAAATAAAGGAAACAAACAAAAGAGTTAAATTTTAATTTAAATTATATAATTATTATTATTTTTTAATTATTATAATTATTAATTTGGGAAATTTTCTGTTTGTTTTACTTTTAGAGATTACATTGGCGACACATTTTAAAGCTGCTAGTAGAAAATAAAAATTTCAGATTATATTTTGAACCGGCTGAAAGCTGATTGGCCACAAGTTCAGATTCTGTCAAAGTAAACGGAACCAGCCCCAGGCGTATAGGAACTTTCAAAAAAAAATAATACATTTATAAATGGATTTTTAAAATTTTATTAAATCAAAGAAAATTTTTACTAGCAACTCTAAGAAGAATCTTTAATGGATAAAAAAAATCGATATTTTAAAGTAAAGTTTAATGTCTTTCCTTTAAAGTAAAATTTTTCGTTTGTTTTTTTTTTATAGTTATAATTCCTTCTTAATTATTTAAAATTGTTTGTTGTATATACTTCTTCAAAAAATGTCATTCCTGACGAAGTAGTCCCAGCTAAATCCAAAACAGCTGAGACTTGTCCCGAGAACAACGAAATCTCAAGCAGATTCCTGTGCAGTTCGGATAAGACTCGAATCAACTGGAAAGGGACAAACAGCTGGAGCATTCGAGAGAGCGCGCGGAACCGCTTGGCAATGGAACAGCATGGGGAAAAGGGTGTCAATGGAAATACAGAAGTGGAACCCCATAGATACCCTCTCTCTCTCTCCCTCGCGCTCTTTCTATCTCTCTCGCTGAAGGAGCAGCGGCGGCGGCATGGCAGGGCAGCTTTTCAATCCAGTTCGAGTCAGCCAGCGGAGTGGACGTCTCTCTCTCTCAACGCTGCCACCGTTTCATTTGCAGTATCTCTCGCGGCTCTCTCGCGTGCGTCGTCAAGCTAACGGTAAAGTTAGGCTCTAAATTTTAGATGAATTTTTGTTTGAAAGCAAAAGTGCAAAGTGAATCAAATGTGTGAAACCGCCCCCCCCCAAAAAAAACAAGAATCCGTCTATACAGCTAGGAAAATTCCATTTTTTCGATTATTTTTGTCTTGTCTCTCTGACTTGTGTTTTGTTTTCATTTGGAAAAGCATTTAAAATGCAGTAAATTATTTAAGGAAATTTATTTTGATTCACTTTCGTGAGTGCTGTTGTTGTTGTTGTTGTTGCTGTTGCTGTTGGTTGTCCCACAAAGAAAAAAAAAAGCTGAAATTGTTTGCCCTCCAGCAAGAAAGAGAACAAACGAAGAGAACGAACAGCCGAAAGCCGAAGGCCCAAATAAACTCGCTACCGAATACTCTCCACTACCGAGCGAACTTTAGCCGAAAATACCGACTCGTATTCATCGTCATCGGCATAGTCGTGTGGTATCAGTCGCGCTATAGCATCGCATCTGAACGCATCATCTCTGGGCGCCAATCATCCTCAGATAATAATCCACAGGCAACAGTCTCATCAGCAGCAGCAGCCGCCACAGCCACAGCAGCATCATCATCGGAGGCATCATCGTAGATACAATTCGCGAGTGCAAATTGCAGCTGCAACATGTCAATTAACTAAGTCCAAGCGAAACAAGTCCAGCGAAAAAAACTCAAACCCGATTACGTTAGAAAATCCAGCGACAAAACGACTTAACAAAGCTCAAAGCTCTTCTTATTCCTTCACCTGGTTACAGGTGAGTCTTAGCCCAGTAAGCGGTGCGTTCAGCGAGAGGGTTGGTTAGTGGGTGTTGGTATGGCACTTTATGACCTATTTGCAAGTGAAGCAAGGGGCTTACAATGCAATTATTTGCCAGCCACAATGCATTTTGTGTGCAATTCAAATTCCTGCATCTGATCAAAGCAGAAAAAGTAATTAAGAATTTTGTGTATTTCTGGGGTTTGTTTGGGCCAAAATATTGTTTGGTCCTTAATGTTATTTAAAGTGGAATTGCATTTATTTTGCAGCAGTTGCAAATACTTGAAAGTTTTGTTATGGGAAATTCATTTAAAATCAATCCAATTAAGAGATCTAATAACGAACAGAATCATTAATCAGCTGAAGCATCAGTTCAGCTCTTGCAGCTGTATACCATTTATTTTGAAGTTGTTTTGCTCAACCTGCTGCTGCATCCCATCCCCCAATAAAACTTTAATGAAACTCTGTCAGTTGCTGTCAGCATCCGCCTGCTTGCTGTGGAACAATTTCCACCCCCACCCCTCGAACCCTCCAAGGAGTTCAACAACTTTTGCAACGGAAACTTTCCCACCGACTCGAG